AGTTTTCTCATATTTAATTATATGAGATGAAATGAAACACAAGTCTATTCACTTCATCATGCCTTAGCCATCACTATACTAGCAATAAATTCTAATATGTTACTAATATTGCTTTTGTTATATAGTGCTTGAAAATGAAGCCTTCTTATATTGGATTTACCATCTTCACAAATGCCATGATTCTTACTCCTTTTACCAGCGTTTGAATGAATTCTAACTATACGCTGTTTCTACAATATATAGTGACATGCCTACCTAAAGATTTTAGCGTAAGGAGCACATTGCCCATTTGACAGTATTAAGCTTGCATAGTCACGTTTCCTTATAAGCTTTTTAATATTTAATGGTGAGGAATGTATTCATGTTTTGTGGCATATTTGTTGAAAACATTTCACAGATTTGAAAATTTCTTTTTAAGATTTTAAATCTTTATTAAGACCATTTATGTTGTATTTCGAGTAAAGTTTTTTAACTTTATTTATAGCATTAACAAGCAACTGTTTTTTTTCATTTTGAGCCTAGATATACAATTGGCAAAATGAAGTTGACCAAATATAAATTTTTATTTAATGTTGGGATATAATCAGAACCATGCAAACATTAACTTGTCAATGTTTTACCAATACTGGTATCATCAGGAAATAAACAACCTAAATCACATACATGCAAACCAAATACAGCATATCTATCATAATCTCTATGTGTAGAGTGTGTTTGGATGTCATGGAGTGATGTAATGTTCCTAGATAATGAATCGTTTTTGGCCTGCTGATGAACGTTTTGATGTATTTAATCTGCATATATGTGATTATTTGTTTCTGTTGTGAAGATGTCTGAATCAACAAAATGTAAGGGTTTAACTACTCCATTGGTTGAGGATTAACCAAATAGTTAGCCTATATTTTATATGTTTGAGGCTTTGTGCTTGGAAATTTCTGATTACGTCTTAACATTTAATTTATGCATCTTGTTTGATTTTTTGCTCTTTTATATTGATAGAAATTTAATATTACAATCATTGAGTTCAAAAAGCTCATTTAAAATTTTTACCTCACAGTTCCTATGCTTTTATTCTGCTTTAAATTATGATTAATTTGGCTTCCTTGTATAACCATTGACAAGGCTTTCCTTTTGTATATTTCTCACAAATTATGCTGGATTTTCAACAGTGGTTCCAAACCTCAAAAAGGTTGCCAAAGGCTTACATAATCCAATCTATGAATTCTACTAACTCTTAAAGTCATAAAGTTAAAATCCTTAAGTATAAGAGACACATCGCTTGTATTTGTCTCCATAACTCATTTCTAAATCATAGATCTATTAGTACTTGTGTTGTCAACAAGGGCAAAGCCAGCCCAAAGGAATTTGCTCTAATTGGAGGGACCCTTATTTAATTTTATTTCATTCTTGTAGAGGTCATCCTGGTCAACTTTACAAGATTTGGAACCACAGTAAAATAAAAGTTTTAAAAGCTGCCATTTATAATAATTTATATATATGGATAGGCCTTTAATTTTTAAGACTGTAGACCTGCTTATATAGCATGAAGCATAATATTGAACACAAAATCATTTATCAGAGGATATCATAAGATAAAACAGACTACTGGGTTCATTGAAAAAATAAAACAAATGTTTCGATACCTAGTTAAAAATATGTTTGAATAATATTAAAAATAATTCTATGTTTCTAGCTTATTGAACAAGTACTGTCCTTAGCATGTTAAATAACCGATTAAAAACCTCAACTATCAAAGTGAATAGGATGAGCAATTAATTTTATTTTGTTAATTAACGAAATAAAATTGAGCACATAAATCGTTTACTATCACAATGGAAATAATTGAGGTTTTTAAAAAAGGTGAAAACTGATTGCATGCTTGTTGAAATTTAATTATATTTTGCGATGTATAAAAATGTAATAAATCATCCCATTCCATGTTGTTTTTTTTCTTTATATTTTTAAATGTATGTAAATAAACTCTGTAGACAGGAAGCAGTGTTAAGAGTATGGACTGACAAAGAACTAGGCCGAAAGGACGGAGCCGAAACACCACAACAATTACCCATTTCAACCATTGTAACAGACTGATAATCCTCAAACTGTAAGCTCTATTGTACACAATCCTACTCCACAGTTTCCCCAAATAATATCAATGTAGCTAAACAAAATTTCGTATGTTTTATGTATAAAAACAGAAATCATTAAAGATGATACGCTATTTACTGTCCATGAATTGTAAATAACACTATTTTAGTACATCTTATGATAAAACAATGTTTTGTAAAAGAAATCATATTAAATATAAATATTTAATCCATTGAAATATGTATTTTTTCTATTTGTATTAGAGAAATATTAGAAATTACCAGTAGAAAATGTATATTATAGAATATTTGCAAAATATATAAAATTATGCTTATTCAAAAAAATTAATTGAATTAATTAAATATTCAAACCTCATTATCTATAATGAAAGCCAGATTGAAAAAGTATTACTTAAACAGCAAAAAAAAAACTATTATAAAATGGCCAAGGATTATTTTTCCATTCCTTTCTTTGACAAATATAGCCTTTTTCACTTATAGTGAATAAAATAAGTTAATTCTGGAATGTAGAAAACATATTATATTTTTCTTACTTTATTAAAAGCAGTTTGGTTGGGGAAATTTTTTTGTTTTGTTTTTCTTATCTTTTGGGCTATGTTTCTCTCTTCCTCACCTTTTCAGATATACGGGGTTTGCCGGGCCAGAGAATTAGTCAGGAAAATAATGAGAGATAAAAGCCCCCCTGCACTGGGATTCAAACTCAGAATCTTTTGGTTTAACATATTTTGCAAACGTGTTAGCCCGCTTGGCTAACACACCCTCTGTAGGTTAGAAAGAATTACCAAAATATATTTCCTTTCTACTTTCTACATTCCTTGCAAGATTTGGTTAGTTATTTCTGAAGATCTTCCCCCAATGATAGTCTGAACTAATAGTATGCACATCAAAGATGAAAAGTTCAGAAATTTTTTTATGCTATATATTATTTAATTGAGGTAATTGTCAAATAATTTAGGAATTAAACCGTCTTCAAAGGATACTAGTAATTTAAAGATGTAAATGAAACCTTCCGTTCTCTTGGGTTGACACAATTAACAGACATTATTGCAGTTGCCAGGGGCTAATAGAACAACAGTAATATTTTTTTTTTAAATATCTACATATTGTTAGCTCCAAATGATAAAAAAAATATCATGTGAGGCCACTGATATGTTATTCCCATGAAACCTAATTGGCCCTTGTTTTATTGACAATATAAGAATTTATAAGTAAGATTGAAAGTATTTCCTGAAGTCAAAATTGTCCTATCTATGAAAAAAATTATTCCTACTTAATATTCAGCACATTAATTTAATATTATTAAGCTCATTTAAGTAATTAAAACAACATACTGCATAGTAGTTAAGATAGCATTTTAAAAAGATGGGATCATTTATAAAAATAAAATAATGCACCAAAACAAGCATTTCCAAGTTAGTAAAGCACTAGCATTTGTATGTAAACATTAACTTTAATTTTTTATATGTAATCATTAACCAAACTGTGTATGTGTACAAATAAAATTGTTAGATGTAAAATTAATAATTCAATAAACATTAGATTACACCACCAATTTGATATGTACTGAAATAATTGTAGTTAGACTCATTAGATAACTAATATTTGATTTACTGTTTATATATAATAAATGACAGAATCAGGAAATCGATGTTTCATTCCGAATCCTTCTGAAAATGCTATACCAATCCAATATTTCTTGTTTTCCTGCTTTCTTTCACTTCTTTTTTATCATTTATGAAATTTATTCTGCAACTCTTCTTTGTAATGTTTAGTATTATCTTTGAGATTTTGTTATATAATATTTTCTCAAGGAGTCACTCTCACCCTTGAGAATATACATTGTTAGTTACTAAGAAAATGGTTTTATTTATTGTACAATTAATTACCTATATGGGAGAACTTCACATATCATCCATTCGATGAAAATCTGGTTATATTCCCCTATATTACATAAGTAATTTTAAAAAATATATTATTTAATAACAAATATAAAAGAAAATTTTAAAACATAATAAGTATTTTATTTATTTCTCATAAATATCACCGAGTTTTTCAAATAAAATATGCTTTGTGGTTCCTTGTCCTGATGCCCTCACTGAAAGCAACTATGGAATGCCGACAACTTTGATGTTATGGGCGCATATGTAGAATGGGAGAAAACTGAGTAACAAGGAAATGCATGAAAGCAAGGCCAACAAGCAGGAGACCACCAGGCAGGCCTAGAAGAACATATCCAGCAATTAGGTGGGGAAAGAGGGAAAACTAGGTGAGGAAAGAGGGAAAACTCTAAGTCAGATGAAGAAATTGGCGAGACAGAGATGGTATGGTTGAAGTGGCTGGAGGCTCCTCCACGCTGAACGGCATAGAAGTGATTCCTTGTCTAGTTTTAAAATTAAAGCTATGTTGCTGTAGTTTGGGCTAAGTTTTGTTTTGCATAAATACATATCTATGAGAGAGTTACATAATATTGATTGAAAAATTCCATAACCTCTAAAACTTATGAATGCCACAAACGATAGCGCAATTTGATTTCGCTTCCATGCTACTCAAAGGTAAGGAAGTTCTTTTTTCATATAGGAATTAAAAAAGAAATGTTTGTCCTTATAAGGCGAAATTTTAACTCGCCTTTTACTTTTTAAACATCAAGTAACATAATTATTTCAACTTCAAAAACAAATAAGGTTATGTATTATACAAGTGTTTTTTACGCTATAGGAGTGGCCACCTTTCGCTTGAATCAAGCAGGTTATCTCTAATTTCAATGTACTTCATTATTCATTTCTGATGGATTCCACTGTTAAATAAGTGTTGAATTTAGCTAATATGCCTGACAAATGAAGTTGATTATGTAAAACTGAATAAAAGTAAATTGGAGAAAAGAATAAACAGAACTATTAATAAATATTTATTTAATTGAGGCATGCTAGGTAATTTTTGCCACTTTCTATAATAATTAAACTCAAATCAAGTATTTTACCTAGAGACATCCTATTAAGGTAGCAGTGTAAAACAAGAATTTACTGCTTAAAAAAACAAAAGTAGATGTGGAATGCATGAAAAGATACATTTAAGTAATTTCAGATATAAATTAATTTATAAAAAACAAAACAAATTAATCACATTTAAATATGTTTTACAAGCACATAAATATTGGACACCAGTAAAATAACTACACTTTTCTGAGTAACTTTTGTTATATCACTAATGATAATTTTTTTTTTTCGTTTTTTTTTTATACATCACTCTATGTTTGTTTTAACAAACAATTTAAGTTAATAAAATATATAATTCTCTTAACAAATGTCCATTCATACACTAGTCAACAATTCTCAAAGAAAAAAATACATTAAAATATCTTTACACAGGTATATTATTTTGTATAATAATTCTAATTTAATGATAATAACAAAATGTAAGGAACGATGTACATTTAAAATAATATCATACAAATATACACAAACAAACACACACACACACACACAATATTCATCACAGTACAAAAATTTAGCGAAGACAATTTGGATAAGGTTTTAATTAACTTAAGTAGGCTACTACATTACTATCCATTACTTTTGACAACCTATGACAATAATTTTAGGTAAAGGCTTCAGTTAATCGATTGATATTTCTCATATATAATTCATTCACCGTCGTAACATTAAGTAAATACCAATAAGATAAAAAGGAGGAGGAGAACTAATCAATTTAACATAATATTGCCAAAATACCAGAGCACCTTGATATACATCAGTCAGGAGTGATAAGTAGAACAGTCGTAAATGGGCCTCCAGAGCAGAGGTAACCTTATTTGGTTTAAAAGACTAGCCAGAGGTCTTGCACCACCTTAGAGGCCAGCCGATCCCTGCCGAATGGAATGTTTCGCTGGCTCGCTACACCAGCTTAAAGCTCTCTTGTCTCGTAAACCTATGTAGATGACAAAAAATCGTCTAGGAATCCTTGTAGCATTCTATGCACTTAGTGTTGGGCAGAATACATTCTTCATGGTAACCATGTCCGCATCTAGAATAAATTTTTTTTTGTAATAAAATTTGATCCTTTTATTTGAACTTTATTCTTATCTTTAGTTTTTCAGGCTATAATAATGCTTTATTTATTATGGGACGAGTCCCTTTAGAATAATACAGAAGACAAAAATATGGGCTAAGGAGCCTCAGAGATACATAAACAAAAATATAGAGTAAGTAAATAGTCAAATTAAAAAAACTAATGAAAGAAATTATAAGTTACTTTCCAATTTAAATCAGTTAATAACAAAAAATAAAAAATTGAAAATAAACATAAAGAAAAAATAATGAAGAACAATCTAATAATTTATATACATATTTACAGTAGTAACTATTTACAATTTCATGGGGACTGCATGGATAAGAAATGATTGAACAGACCGGTTTTAAAGGCAGGAAGGGTTTTGGATTGACGGACGTCGGGAGGGATGGAATTCCATAGGGATGAGGATCGGATAATGAACAACCTGTAGAAAGCAGCGGTTCAGAGGACCATTATGTATAAATCAGGAGACCGGGAACAAGTATTTTGCGGGAACGAACAGAGGATTTAAATTGAAGGAGCTTGGAGATGTATGAAAGACGGTGAGATTGGATGACTTGAAAGAGGAAGGATGCCAGGAAACACTTAAAGCCACTTTAATCCTTAGGAAGGATAAAGCCACTTCAACTCTGCATAAAAATGGGAAACAGAGGCGTCCCTTGGGACCCCGAAGATGAATCGTACAAAAAAATTTATTAAACATTTTAATTTTGCCTCAAGATCCCCAGAGACGCCCCCATATACCGTACAGCAATAATCAAAGTGGAGAAAAATTAAGGAAGTTACTAGAAGCCTATGGGTTTCAAGGGGAAATAGCTGACGGGAGTAATTTAGACGTTTTAAGGTGAAAATAGTACAACAGGAGATGTTGGATATATGATTTTTCCAGGAAAGCGTTTGATCAAAGATCATTCCAAGGTTTTTGATGGAAGGATAGAATTTGATGGGATTATCATGTAGGAATATTAAAACTGTTTTAAGGACGTGATTGGAGCCTATTAAGATTGCCTTCGTCTTTTGTGCATTCAAATTCAACTTGTTAGCTCTCACCCAATCACAAATCCTATCCAAGTCTTCTTGAAGTTTTTCTTTGGCTGATAATAGGTCGGTGGGTGGGAAGGACAGGTATATTTGGAAATCATCTGCATAGATATGGTATTGGGAGTGATGGATCAGGAGGGGAAGGTCATTAATATAAATAGTAAACAGAGTAGGAGATAGAGAGGAACCATGAGGGACACCACAGGAGAGGGAAAGGTCATTATAATAGAGAACCTTATTATAATTAAAAATAATTTGGCTAATATTTTTTTGCTTTATTTTTCACTTAATACTATATACAAACTAATAATAAAAAAAATAAGCATAAAGCTCGAAAAGAGACATTATAAATGGAATTATCCAAACTATAAAGTCATGAGCCTCTAACATAAAATGAACAGTTAACTAGCTTCAGCAACTTGCATGTCGGAGACTCATGGCCATATAGTTTGGATTATGCAAATTAATAATATTACACTAAATTATTGATTAGTCTTTTTAAAATAATAAGCCAGAACTAATGAAGAGAAAAGAGTTAGGAATTGATTCTCAATGAAACTGGAAGTCAGTTTTCAATTAAATGAAAAAATTGTTTCCGGAAGTAGCAAACTACAAAAGGATTCAAGCATTGGGATGTCCCCTCCCTCCATCCCTAGGGTGCAAAATTTTCCTGTTTTACAGCAACTAATAATAAAATACACATAATACATTCTAACTCATAAGTACTCAGCACGATAGTTCCTCGAAAAAATTTAACAACTTCTTTTGATGCATCTTTTATAATTTTAGAATTACCATTTCATTTAATTTCATCTCAAGATATCAGGAAATGTTATACACATAATTATATAAGCACAGATACACAACATAATATTTAAAACAAAAACTTTTTTGAAAATAGGAAAAAGAGAATGAAAAAAAAGAAGAAAAGTTGATGGATAAAATTACTGCATGAAATTATCAGAATTGAGATTTTTCTTAAAATGTCCACAGTAGACAGATAACAGTTATCATGGAAGATTACAAAGCTCGAAAGAAGTTTTAGAATTACTTTTCTGTTTAGCCTCTCACATGTGAGCAGGAAGAGGTAGCCCAGATTGAATACTACACCGTGGTTGTAGTTACTGAGTGTAATTGAGTTAGGATGACCCATTTAGATCAATATGGGTTCGATTCCCACATTTTAGTAAATGAAGATCCTGCATGTATAATGCTGATCGAACCGACACACCCAATATGGCCATGAGTCCGTTTCATGCATTATAAAAACTCCTTATAAATATTTGTGATGGCAACGATATATTGTGAGTAGCTAAAGTTAAGTGTTCTTCAGTGGGCCTAAGAAAGACTGGGTAGTAGTTACAGGAAGAAACAATAGGCCCATTTTTGATAAAATCCACCCCTCTCAATACCAGCATATAGAATGAGATATATTATGAAAATTTGAATAGATTCCAAATTGTATTCAATAACAGTTGGAATAAAATTAGAAATCAAAGAAACAGTAACTGCATAATAATTGTTTCTAAAAATTCAAACAAATGTATAGAACACAAAATAAACAAAAGATATGGGAAACAAACTACCTGAAAAGATATAGGCCAGAAGAGAATGGGGCACTGCATATGTGGCAGAATAATGGGGATCTGCAGCCTACTTTTGCTTGGTCGAGTGCAACAGCCAATTCTCCATGTAATCCGCTCATGTGAAGACGTTTCGTAGCTTCCAGCATCCTCTTCTGATGTCGGCACTTCACAAACAAACCTAAAAACAAAAAAATATAAGAAAGGTTTTAATATAAATGAAGACCAAATGAGAAAAAAAGGCGATATCACTTTTTTTTAAATTGAGTTATTTAAGGGTTAAAATAGATTATGGAAAGCATTACTACAATCCTAATAGGTCACACATGCAAAATAGTGATTCTGTCCTGATCGAAAATTGGTTAAAAAGAAATATTTTAACCATTAATACAATAGATATTAGAGTCAAGAGAGGTGCAGAAATTGGCAACGATCACAGGCTTCTGAGGATGGAAATCAGCCTGAATAAAGTTTTGCTGAAGAGAGAAAATAAAAGGCATCAAAAAGAACAAAATATAAATGTCTGCAAATTGAAAAACAAAGAAATAGCAACTGCCTGCCAGAACATAATAGAAGAAAAGGTTCTTAGTTGAATATACACCTGGGACTCGGACAACGTCGAAACAGCTTGGTCTACTTTCAAGAAACTTCTGATGGACTCAGCAGAAATAACATGTGGAAAAATAAGTACCGGACAAAGACTAAAGAGAGGCGCATGGAGCAATGAAGAGGTCAAAGAGGAAGTCAACCAGAAGAAGATGTATTGGAAGCAATATCTAAAATCGAATTCCCATAATGATTGCGAAAAATAAATAACTCAAAAGAGGAAAAGTGAAAAACAAGGTCATAGAAGCCAAGAGGCAAACGTGGAAAGATTTTGGAAGAAAGATGGAAGACAATTTCCGAGACAATTGGAAGCTTTTCGACAGAATGCTTCAAAACATGCGCAAAGAGAAAGAACGCGTTCTCAAGCGAATTAAGGATAAGAAAGGAAATATACTAACAAGCAATGAAGGAATCATGCAGAGATGGGCTGAATACTTCAAGGAACTTCTGGACAAAAATACTGAAGACGAAAATCAGGAAGCTGGACGGTCGCCCGTGATCGAGTAGGAAGAAGATTTTATCAGACTATCATTTACCACCGTCTCCTTACCAAAATAAGTATTTTCAGACAAAGGGGAAGTGAAAGTAAAAATTATTGATGCTATATTTATTTACAATTCATTGTGGGTATTTTTACTTGTTTAAATACCCTTATATATACAAATTTTAATATTTACATCACTGTAATCTATACAATTAAATATTAAATAATACCAACAATAGCATTTATGAAAACCACGTATGTATATTTATATAATATTTTCCGAGTCCGTATTATATTAATTTCATGATACATATGGAAGTGTGTTCTAATTTTTCGGACGAGCTTAGGTGAGCTTATATTCCTTTGGTTCCTCAATTACAATTATTCTCCATTACGATCTCATATTTCTTCTTTAGTTAATTATCAAATTCTTGCATATTTTATATTTAACCATTTTTCATATTAGAAATTAATGTGGAATAGTCAATTGTTTAAAATAAAAAAAAAAATAAAGGTACTTTAGAGGAAGATAATATTATAAATTAGTCATTTAAGCTCTGCTAGAGAACATCAATCAGAATAATAACCACATTTTATTTAAAACTACTTAATAATACACTGATTTACTGAGTTTAATCAAAACCTCTAGAGCCATTTTTGAGAAAATCGTAAAAATGTGTTGAATTGATTATATAAAGTACCACTACCGGTTTGCCGATTTTGACAAAAATGTTGCTGTAATATCGAAAGCTTATAAAAACCTTAAATATGAAATTTCATTTTCATATGAATTTTCTATTTTGAGCTAGACTGATAACATAGAAACACAGACCATTTTGCGGGACTTGGTTATTTGGGCTCAGAAGACCTAAAAACATGTATTTTCATTGAAAACTCAAGACTCGAAAATTTTAAATGGAGCAATACTTATCCTTCCTATATATTGCATATATAGATAAGTGAAAATAAAATATCTGAATTTGTTACCACTTAGATCACTTTGCTTTGAAACTTGCATTCTAGTTTGAGTTAATCCATTATAGATTGTTCATTGTGATAGATGATGTTTAACAATACCTGGACCACTTATTTCAACAATAATAACTATACCACAATATTAAGATATTTTGTTAAACACATAACACTAATGTTGATTATTTATGATTAAACTTTTCTTCAAAATAATAATAAAGGGTACCAAGGGGCTAAATTCTAATACTCCTGCTAAAAGTCAATCAACTGAAAATCCAATAGCACTTGGCAAATAGAAATTCCTTAATTATATGAAACAAACACTTGATAAACTAATAAATTAATTATTGAATTAAAATATAAATAAAATAAAATTGAGACATGTGATTGTAATTTAATTATTATCAAACAATGAACTAAATCATACCCTATTTAATAGAGGTTAGAGTCAGGACTGGGTATAACCATTAATTAGAAAATTAGTTATCTTTGAGAAGAGTTAATAGCAACATAGCAATACCAAATCGTGGCTTGACAAAAAGACCTTGAATATATAATTATATAATGACAATACAAAACAGGTCTGTCATAAAACACATAAATGAAGAAGAGAAGTCGAATGAAAGCAAGAAACAAATCAAAACAAGTGCTGTTAAAGGGAAAAAAAATAAAACTAGAAACTCCTCTGAAAGCAACTCGGCCAAAAACAGTAACAATAACGACAGAGTATATTTAAAAATCGGAGAAGTATTTGGTAGAGATAAAGTAAATGTGGATGAAGAAAAAATATCCACTAAAAAAAAAGTAAGAAATGTGAGTAAGAAAACCAAAAATCATTCTAGCGATGACGAAGTTGACTTAATAGCTGAGATGACAGAAAGTGAAAGGAAACAGTGGATCGAGGACTACCTCAGCCACCTACCTGAGTACAGCAAGATTGCCGAACCAGTCTTCAGCGATATTAAGCTGAAGGAGAAAGGTGGAGGGGATGCAGACTGTATCACACATCTACATAAAGCTCCAATGCTTAATTGCTATAAGCCGGACTTCTTTAACAGCCCATACATAGTAAGTAACATTGTGAACTTTTCCAATAAGAACCATTCCTTCAATAAATACCAGACATGGAAAATAAGAAGGGAAAACTTGAAAATATGTGAAAAAATAAAAAAACTGGAAAACAGAAAGTTGTCAACAGATTACTATCATCCAAAAATAAAGAAGGAAAACTATTATCCAAATAGTAAAGCCATAAACAGAGCGACAGAGAATAGAAGAATCTATTCGGAAAATATGGTAAATCACCTTTTATACATTATACTAGCAATCCATTCATTATTAGGGTTATTAATGTAATTTGCAATAAATGCTAAATCTATTATGTTGATTAACAGTTAGCATGAATCTCTCGGGCTAACCATAATAAAGTAGGGAAGGGGGCGGGGTGGCCGAGTAGGCTAATGCGTAAATAACTGATAATCCGTAATAAAATTATTAATTTCGAGGGAGAGTTTTTCTTAAAAATATTAACTATTAATTCCAATTGTTATTTAAGAAGATATCAAACAATCATGATTTAGGTTATCAGTTTTAACATAAGCATATTTTTCCTGCAATCAAAAAAGGCTAAAATAGGTCATCACCACATAGACAATTAGAGACTTGTATCCGATTAAACTTGATCAAATAGAAATTTAAATTGATGGGATGGGAAATGAAATGGAGCTCCTCGATGTCATTCATTACGCCATTTGGAAGATCCTCAGATTGATCAGAGTGTGAACTTATGAGACAGTGTAGAGGAAGACTTTCACCTATAGTTGATGACTGAACCAGTTTCCAGTTTTTAACTTCATTTCCTCTGCATACATTGAATTGCAGTAATATCTGCCAATTTTTGAATTAAAACATACCTTCATTTTATTAATTATTTATAATAAAATCAATTTAATTCATAATAAAGAATATAGAGATTTTTTCGAGTAATTCTAGAGAGGATGCTAGATGAATCTAATCTCATGTATTCCATTCAAACACACACTAATGATGTAAACGAAATATATTTTATTTCGTTTATGATTTTAATATGAATATTATTAATAAGATAATATACGAATTTGAAGTATAAATAAGAACTCAAATACAGAATTTAGGATATGACGGAGCTCTTAAATTATTGGCTAATAAAATAGTTGAATAATCAATTTTTCTCATGATTGGCACAGACATACATATCTTTCTGTGATTATCACAACTTAAGAATTATAGACCACCATTATATTGTAAAATTTAATCTTACTTTCTGTTCAAACTGCCAAGACAAAAACACAAACCTATTTGGAAATATAAAATAATATTATGCATCAATTAAACTTTAAAACTGGTCCTTTTTTGTAAAGATAGATTTCGATTTAATCTCTTATTTACTAAGGCTAAATATATTTAATCTATTTACAGTATTACAAAAATTACTGATAGAAAAATAGTTTTAAAAAAATCATTGACCAGTACTATTGCATTGCTATGGTAGATGTTTTGAAATCTCTGAGAATAATTTAATCACAAACTATATATAACCTTAGTGATGTAGAAGGAGTTGATCGAGGAGGCGGTCAAATAAATACTAAATTTTAAAAAATAGTATTTTTAATTATTACACTGACGTTTCGTTTAGCTAAAATAAGAATAAGATAACATATGTTATCTTATTCTTATTTTAGTTTTACTATATCATTACTTATTCAATTTTAAATTTTTTTATTCGTCAACATTAATTTTCTTTATCTGTTAACCTACAGTTATCAAATGTAATTTTTATTAGTTTGTTATACACTCATTTCTTATCTTTTATTACAATCTGTTTACTTTTAACTTACACGCTGTATTCTCCTTTGTTTTCTATTTTGATTCATACTTATTTTCTATTTTTGTTAGTATCTTCTATATATTTAATACTTAATATTTTAGCTACATTGTCACCCACTATATCTCTGATGTCATATTATTATTTCTTTATCAGGCAATTTAATATCTACTAATAATTCATTTATTTTATTTTCACCATGTACCTTTTATATTTCGTATCTTTTGTAGCCCTGATGAAGACCTGCAAAGTGGGTCGAAACGTCGGTGTAATAATTAAAAATACTATTTTTTAAACTTTAGTATTTATTTGACCGCAACCCCGATCAACTCCTCATATATAGCTTAGATTTAATAACACTGCTATTATCTAATCAAAATATATTACAAAATTTTCAGGTATTAAAGTATATGATAGATAAAATCAGACGAACACCCAATAAGAAGGCTCCTTGGTATAAACCAGAAAATGGAAAATATATAAAAACTGAAAAAATATAAAAAAATAAATAAATAAAAAATAAAAATAAAACTGATATTGAAAACAAATGAATTTTATTGATATGACCACCTATCTTGATTAAACATAATTTGCAATAAAATTCAGCTAATTAATTTTTTTCCCGTAAATGCACCATTTTCTTCAACTTGTACAATTGAACAACATTTGTTGTTGTACAATTGTACAACTGGTATAAGTTTTCAACCTATGAACTGAGAACAATTTAACAAAACAAAATATGTTTGTGATTAAAACAAATTTATTTATTGCAGAGAACTGAAAAACAACCACGATTCATAAATATTATAATGTAAGAAAAAAAAATGAATAAAATACATATTTTGAGAAAATATGTGAACGTGAAAAATGATTTGTTGCGGAAACTGTCAAAATCTGATAACACGTATGTGTAAACACAACTTGAGTTGAACCTTCTCTAGCTTTTTGGTTTATTATTTTCAATAACCAACCATTGTGATCGACCAAAAAATTCAAAAACTTCCCCTCTCAAAATTTGAGGTTTCATGTTTCAGGATGAGCAGAATTCAAAAAACGAATACAAAATTTTTTTTCCATCCGCCATACGCCGTCCGCGCATTTTCTCCGAAACTACTGGACTGATTTGTTTCAAATTTGGATATGAAATCAGAGGTCACCCAAGGATGATCCTTCTTCATCGACATTACTATCCGCCTGTTACTTTCAAAATGGCGGCCGAAAAACCTGTGTTGCTATAGACTGTAGCTCCTAAACGAATGTACCGATTTCAATGAAACTTCACTAAATTAATTTTCTTGACACCCTTTAAATTTATCTATATAACATACTTCAAAGAAGAGAAGCTAGAAAAAAAGTTACGAGATGGTAAAATTTAGTTTTAAATAACTCAAAAATTATACACTTTTTTGTCGATGGTTTTTTAAACGTTTACGGAATTTCCTAAAAAAAAAAAAAAAATCGTTAAAATCGGACAATTAGAAGCAAAGATATGGTCTCTTGTTTTTTTTTTTTTAATATGTTCTACAGCAAATGTTATATCCTGGGTTTGGTTTTTAAATTTAGAATGTGCTACCGAAGTAATGCTATTTTTTTTAGCATATTACTAATGATTAAAAAAAAAAGTTTAGTCCAATAATTGGAATGACTTTTTATTTATTTTTCTTTGTAACTAGGAAGGTAATGTTACTTTAGATGTATAATTGTTTGGAAATAATAAACCATTGTGAAATAATTTGCAGCGTTTTTCTTTTGATTTGACATACCTTGTAGATCTTTGGACATCTAAAACAGCCACCTCTGTCTATCTCAAACTACTGTTGTCCAGTTAGCTGTAAACAGCTGCACAGTATCATTGTTAATTCAATCTATGTGCTTTTTGACCTTCAACTGATAAAGAAGTTTTTTTAAGCAGTTCTATATCGGTCCTCTCCTCAAGGACTTTCCTCTCAAATCTTTCTATTCTTCTTTCTAAAAATGTGTGTTATGTCCAGCTCTCACTGTCACGTATTAGAACTAGCTTTATCACAGCATTCTACACCCTTAATTTGAGATATATAGACATTTTATTGGGATTTCAGTTCCTTTGGAAGAAAGAAAAAGCTCTATTTCTGATAGCTGGTTATTGTTTGAGGTTATAGGGGAGTCAAGTTATTTGAATCTGTCTATTCTCGAAAATGATTTCCCATAAACGCAGATCCTGTTGTTGGAGTGGATTTTTCATTTTACTACCATATATTTAGTTTCATCCTCATTTACTTGTAGACCAACTGGTTCTGCTTTTCTTAGCGTGTTTCTCAATGCCCTCTTGATTTCTTCCGAGGACATCTGCATGGCCTACAATTTTATGATTCATTCCGAAGTGTTTCCCTCCACTCTATTTGAACGTAATGTTCTTTGACCTATTCCACAGATAAGTTGAAAAGCAACAGCTTGTGTCCATCTTCTTACCTCACACCTGATCTTTCAGGTGAACATAAAATAAATAAGAACTTTCTGCAATTATATTATTATTATAACTCATTTCAAAATAGAATCTTAATGGGGGAGAGAGAGAGAAAAAAAAATCATTAAACTAATGACCAGACTTTGGATTAATAGAATCATTATTTCACTCAATAGGTTTTCTATTATATCCTTTTTATTAAAAAAAATAAATAAAATAAGTTATTTTGTACTTTACCAGTTATCAACCCTCCCAATACCAGGTGAAGAAAATATACTGACTGCCAGAAGGGATACACTTAAGTAAACTAGATCATTCATAAAAATTGAGATAAAAGTCAGAGTTAAAAAGAGAAAACTTGGGGACATGCATAAGATAAAAACATGAAAAGGTAATAAAAGTAAAAATATAGTTTTAAGTGATAAAATAAAATATTACATACCCATAATTAAAGCTCTTAGTTCACCTAAAGTTCCGCGACTATGCTGCATGAGTAAATGAAGCTCTGAGACCAAATTAAGATCAGCATTATTCAAAACCCTTTGAAGGAGTTCTATAAAAGTAAACACATTTTATTGTAATATCATATCAAAATAAATTTAATACTAATAATTATGTATTTATTTAAGTTATTAACAACATTAACTGATTTTTCAAACAAAATTTTATCAGAGGCGAACATCACAGGAAAGAAAATAACCATATTACAAGTGGAACTTATTCTGCACAGTGGCTAATGGCTAGGAATAGGATTTAAGTGAACCATTTTTAGTTAGTTTCCACATAGCTCTCAAACGAACAGCTACAAACCATTTTTCTGTATTGTAAACATGATTAAGTATCAAATAGAACCAATGTGACCCACAAAAATGTTAAATTTACTGGTGTATGGTAACCATATTACAAAATTATGTTTATGAATAGGCTAAAACATTTAAAGTTATCCAAATTTTACTTCGATATTAGTCATTGAATAAACAAAATTGAAAATAAAAAAAAATTGTCTGTTTTGGTTGTTTGAAATGCCTTAGTTGGAGCAACCACTCTACTCTCATGATCTTGCTCTATATGACTTTTTTTCTTCAGAAATCAACAATGCATTAAATGGAATAAATAATGAGGAAAGATAAATGTAGCTAAGTTTTTTGTTTTGTTTTGTTTTTTATTAACTCTGACAACAAATAACTTACATCATAATATGATAAAGTAAACATGTAACTTGAAAAGCAGAGTTGGACGAGCATTATCTTAATGACGAATAAATTTTAATTCATAATAGAATTCATGACTAATGAAATTTTTTTTTTATTTATTAGTCAAGACTAACAAAATGAATAATTGAAAAAAATTGTTTGTTTTTTTAAACAGAAAGAATACTAAAAATTTATTCGTTCATTCATGACTTAATTTCTGAATAAAAAATACGTTAAAATTGTTTAAAATTAAAATTTTAAAAATTGTTTGCTCACACAATTAATTTTTTGAAAATTGTTTTGGTTCTAATTATTTTTATTTTTTTTAAATTTAATTATTTATATAATTAATACCTATTTAATGTCCAAGACTTCCACCGACATCTTTAGCTCTCGCTTTTTCGACTGTCATCAGAATATTTTAATTTTATTAAAGGTTATATTTTCAGGAAGTAGGGGAGGCGATCGCCAATAAAAATGTTGAGAGGGCGAGAATATCGTTTCGCTCTCCTCCCCAATAATTTGAAGTTAAAAAAAAATATACACATATATATATATATATGAAATGTATCAAATATTCATAAAATAATTTTTAAAATCATCAACCGGGGTAGAAGAGGACGGTTTTTAATAAAATAATGGTTTATTGTTTTTAAAAGTTTGTAAGGTAAAACGGAGCGATAAGATGGAGTTATGTTATTTTTATCCGTCCAACTTCTATAAAATTATGTTTCTCAGATCAAACATTTTGACTTGGGTATAAACCTGAATATTATTTTAATTATAGAATAGTCAATGGCCTGCTAGAATAAAAGTCCCAAATCATAGTAAATTAAAACGTGTATGTATTTCATTTGTTTATTAGCCTCTCCTTCAACAGGTACTTATTACAAGAGGATTACTATACAAAGGGCAGACAGTTAACCTACCATATTTTTAAAATAAAGGACATTTCAATAACATAAGTTTAAAATAAAGTTGTGCACCCCTCACCCGATCGATCACATTTCAAAAGTCATCGATTTAGTGGTCTTATTTATTGTCAGTTTAGTGTTTTTAAGTTGTTTTTTTTTTACAATGATAGGATTTAATTTAAGATGATGAAAATGGAAATCATTGAGTGATTTGGCAGCAGTAGTGGAAACCGTTTACATTTATATATAAGAGCAATAATTAAGAGTAATTATTTATTTGACTAAATTTTAATTCGAATGATTTTTCATCCGAATGAAATTTTAGTTGTAAATAAGCGATTAAAAATTAATTCGGATAAAATTTCAATGATTTTTAACATATGTTTATTTGCGATTAAAAATTTAGTCATTTTATTATCCGAATAAATTTTTATTCGACTAACACCCAACTCTGCTAGAAAGGTATTTAGGAATATTTTCTAATTTCTGAAAATTTTCATAAAAATGAGTAAAGAACTGGAATCTGAACAAACCTGTGGAGTTTAACTTAAGAAGGCACATAAGTAGAGGCATCCATGACGTTTTAGAATCTAATACTGTGCTTCCCCGCTGCGCCAGGCTCACAAGCTCTTCAGTCATCCTTTCTGTATCTTTTTCCTCCTGAAAAAATATATAATATATGAGAAAAAATAATTTTCCGAAAGATTTATTTCAAAATTTCAGCTTGAATATGAAAAATAAAAGATACCATAACTTTGTGTTACTTGGAACCAAACAAAAAAAGTAGCAAGAACTACATGCTAGCACTAGAACTGCACAGTCTGTGGTATAGATATTAAATTTTGTTTATATTTTTATAATAAAGTGTAATTTCAAACTATTTTCAGTGGATTTGAATAAAACACTGATGCAACTAAGACTGCTGGATCCAAGCACCCTCAACTTACAGTACTTAATAATAATAATAAAAGCCTTAGTGAACCCGAAGGTTCGAGGCCAATACCAATAATCATTCTCTACACATCTCATTTCACCGGCCACTGTTGAAACCCAACCCTCAGATTAATCCTCCTACCAATTTACAGTACTCAAGAATATTACACTAAAAGCAATGGAATTTTAATCATTGCTTTTTCTTACGAATATTTATTTTTCTCACTTTGCGTCTATCTATTCTAAAGTCATCAAGAGGATGAAGAGATATTAGAAATGATAGTCTTGGTATTACGTATATATTATGGTTTTCTATGCTAATAAAAAACTTGTTTATACAAAGAAAAACTGCAAATTCAATTTTATAGTGAAGTTCATTTTTGTAGTTGAATTAAAAAACCCTTTTCAATCAACAGAATTTAAAAATATTTTTCTGAAAAAATATAAAATACTTTAAAATTCAACATTTCAAATTTAATGTATGAATAAACTATTTTGGACTGGTTTGGACTTTGCAAAGAGCACTACAACCATAAGTTGCTTAGAATTAAGCAAATTAAGAGAGAGGAGAGAAGAAAGATTGTCATTTTAGTCATTTTCATAGGGAAATGAATGATATAACTCATTTCATTGACCACTAACAATTTAATTCAAGTGAATAGTGAAAATGATTATAAACCCATTTTTAAAAGTCTCAGTCATGGGGTTCTTTTTAAAACTAATTGCAGTAACATAACAGAGTGAACTGGAAATTACAATAAGTGAAGGAACAATACTAGACAAAACACACTTAGATCAACAACTTGAAAACAACATCTGCAAAATTTTACCTTCCTAAGTCAAATCAATTTAAAGCATTTAATATAATCTATAATTATTTTTAAAATTACTGTCATTAGTAGAAGTTCACTGGTCAATTTTTAAATAGTTGTCACTATTTTTGAAATTTTAAAATGATTAAAACTATTTTAAAGTCAACTAAGATTCTGAATCTATTCAATATGTAAGTTTATGGGATAAAAAATAGAATTAATAAATTAAAAAAAGAATGGATTCAAACAAATAATATCAGTAGTTAATCGAATCATGACATCATGCAGTTAAAAAAAAAAATTAATCTAAATTTTATAATTTGGTCAAGTGGTACGGCCAATAATCACGGCCCAATAAATGTTAATTTTTACCAAATTCATTAAAACTGAGAAAATTTACTATTAATGGCCCTACTATGAGTTCTTTAACAGAAAAAAAAATCCCAATAATAAAAGTTGTAGAGCATCAAATTCCACGTCCACTGAGTACTAACAGTTTTAATTGTAGATCAATTGTATCTCTCGAATCTTTTAATATAAATGATATAAATATTTTTTTAAAAATGTGTTTCAGGTTTTCATCAAATAATGCTGATTTTTTTCTCACAGGCTTTTGGACTAAATGTTTCTCTACCTAATTTATGAGTAAACAAAAACAGATTCTAGAGTTTAATATGGCAATTCAGAGAACCCATATTAATAAATATAAGACTTGTACAATATGAATTGTCAGTTTTTGGTGAAAAATTGCAAAAAATAACTTAAACATTCAAATCATGCCTTATAGATTCTACGGAACTAATGTATAACATTTGTTTAATTCCCCTCTTCATAAATACTTATTTATTACTTTGATGGCAAAGTCTTCACAGAAATTTTTGATATCAGCAAAAGTTAACATTAGCTTGATTTGTAAAAAATAAACTTACAAATTTAAAGAAATAAATACTTTTTTTTTAATCTGAGTACATGACAATGTTTAATTAAGTGAGATGGAGTATTCTTTGACCAATTAAAAATCTTCCTCAACCTTAGAAGTTTGGGGAAGTATAATAGCCAACAGTAATCATTACCCAATTATCAATTTTTTTTAGATAATTAACTTTCTATAAAACTAAATTTCATTATTAAAATTATTATTACCCCTCAAAACAGATATTTTATATAGTAAAATTAAATAAATAAGACTATATAACAAGAAAATCTAAACAAATATTTAGATGCCATTTAACAGAAAGGTTCTATTTGTATTACATATGTTTGAATTAAATTCAAGTCAAAATTAAATGACCTTGAAAATTGGAAAGTTTCTGAAAATAAGTGTATTCTCTTTTTATGTTACAAATCATAAATCTAATCTTATTTTACACACCCTAAAATATTGCTTTTATAGCAATAGCTTGATCAAAAATCAACCCGATTGTGGATTGGTCCTGTAACAGAAACATCGCATTCTATTACCAATTATATATATTAGCTATGATTTTTCATTTGATGTTACGCTACACCACTTCTTCATAGAATTCCAGGAAATATTTAGCAGTATCAATAGGATGTACCTTCAAAGTGATTTACAGAGATTTGGAGTCACAAGATGGTTTGTATTATAATAAGCAATAATAAATTATGGGCCAAATGAAGACAAATTATTAATAATGGACTGAGGAAAAGAGATCCTGAGGAAAAAACTCTTTCTTAATTTGACCTGAAGGTACCATTCCAAGGAATTAGGACTGATTCTTGCAGCATAATTTACAACACAAGTAATTGCCTATGCAAACAATGTCTACTTGGTAGCAATGACGCTGACTGGACTTGGTGGGGCATTGGTAGAGTTCCAATGTGAAAAAAGTAAAAAAATATTCAAGACCAATAAGATAAAAATTAAGTGCATCAAGAGCACTCAGAACCCTCAACCAAGGCTACATTTTATTAATATTAATAAAAATAGTTTTCCAGTTTGTAAGGCCTTGGAACATTGTATTTTTGAATGCTCGTCACCAAAGAAACTGAGCTCCACAAAGAAATCAAAGAAGAATAGCAGCAGAGAATGTATGCTTCTTCAGAGTTCTCAAGTCATTAAACTTCAAAGACATGGAGCACTAATGTTATCATGTATAATACCCGGATCTGCTCAGTAGCCACCTATGATGGTGGGTAACAGGACCTGACAAACGATATAGATTGGTGGCTATGCAAATGAGAACAAAGAGTGCTCAGAGAAATGAATGGACCTGGGGGGGGGGAGGGGCAGAGGGCAGGAGTTGAAAGCATTATATGGCCAGCCTGATATGGTGACTGTGATAAAATAGAGAAGGTCTATATGAAGAGCAGCTCTTTCAAGAAAATTGATGTATAGAAACCCAGGAGAGGCCTGAAGATGTGGACGTCCCAGAATGTGATGGTAGAAAGAGATAGAGACAGACCTAAGGCAGTTGGGAGTAAGAAGATAGAGAGTTATTATTGGGGAGTTCTTTTAAGTTAAACATATTAAGCACTAACGCCATTCAAAACCACTTTTAGCTCGTGTTTTTAATGTGTTGTGGATTGGTTTCCCTTCTGTTAAATACCATCCATTTTATCATAAAATCTTAAAAGATAATCAAACCAAAACTAATTAAAATTATTTAACTGTAAAATAAATTTTGCTTTAATTTTTTTATTGAAAAGTTTATTTATTTAAACTTTTATAACGATATCATTATAAGTAAAAAGTCATGATATAGCAACAAATACATTCTTGATAGCAGTTTGTAGCCTCGAGAGGAGAACATTAAATGCTCCCTGGACATCACCACTCCTTTCCAGCAAGACAGCAGTTACTTCGTCCAGCCCCCGCTCCTGACAAACCTAATAAAAGGAAAGGACATAGTGATAATTTAACACTTAATACATCCATTAAGGCAATACATTGAAATTAATTCAGAACTCTACCTTAATAGCAGGGTCTAATTCAATGTTATCATGCGATTTCACGACTTGAAGAACCTTGTGAGGCTCAAATCGACACATTAGGCAGACGTATCTGGTCATGTGTTCTGTATCTAGGTCACTTTCCTCTCTGAAATATTAGAATAGTTTTAAAAAATGTTACTCCCCTCGATTATGAGTTAAATCTAGTTAACTTGCAAAATTCAAAAGAACTATAAATGAGATTTCAAAACTACCATAAGTATATTATGTTATCTGCAGTCTGAATACGGTCAGTACTTGGATGATTAAACACTAATCATGGCAGCTGACTAGACTTGGTTTGAGGCAATTTCCTTTCGGTCAGCCTACGGGAGAAAAATTATACAAACCTAGAGTACTAGTGTAATAAATTGTTTCTATTGTTGTTGGGATAACAATCTGGACATACAGATCTTTAAAGTCTATAAACTACAAATAACTGAATTTGATGTATCTTGAATGCTCCATGTACAAGTGTACATAGAATGGTATTGCCTCAATGATCTCATTAAGCAACCTACCATTTCAAACTAAGAAACAGTGTTTAAATTAAGTATAAAATACATATCATACAGCCGAAAACCTTCATGGTCAGTGCTGACAACTAAGGGAACAAAAATAATTGTACTTTTCCATTAAGTCATAATCCTATGAAAAGCTTGTATACTTAGAGGAAAACTAAAACTGAATCTAACACTATAATAAAAGCAAACATATGCAATGATTTAAAATGCTTAGTTATTTTGATTGTTTAAAAAAATATATATATATTCCTTACATCATGCCTTGAAGGAATGGATAAAGTTGTTCTTCAGATAGCTTTGTAATAATATCTGAAATAGACTCTGGGATGTGCCTGACCAAGAGCTGACCAGTTTTCTTAGCATCAATTTTTAATAATGCCTAAAAATGATAGAAATTAAATAACATAAAACGAAAATATAAAATTTTATTCAACTATAAATAGTTCTTAAAAAAATCAAAAAAAAAATCAGCTAAATAAATAATTTATGAAATCTTGACATATATACACGTTTTCAGAATAAATTCAGATAAAATTTCACAATTAAGGACACATCCGAAGCAAATAATATCCAGTATTTGAATATAAAAAAAATAATAATAATAAAAGCAAAATAAGTTTTAAAAAGACCATCTATGAACACACGATTTACCTGTTACTGCCTTGATTATTTAGGATGTCACAAAATAAATAAATTATTTTTAATAATTTGAAAATAAATAATTGTGAAAATAACAGAAGGTAAATTATTTTAGCTGAAGCAGATGTTAGCTGAAATGAAAGAGTAATATCTATCTAATGCAATGATAGTCTATCACTAAAAATCTGGAACACAGGTATCGTAACAATCACAAAATAATAAAACTGCTATTGATTTGTCCGTTACTACCTACTTCCATGTTTTCAGGTTCTAAAATTCCCATATCATGTTTATGAGGAGACTGCTCAAAAAAAGAAAAGACGTGCTCCCTCCTGTTCGGATCAGCTAGCTGGCTCTTCAGCACTTCGCCGTAATCGCCACGCCTCTCATGGATGACAGAACATACCTGATAACTGATAAAAATCATGACTAAACTCATGAAAAAGTATGGTAGAAACACTTAGAATAATAACATTACACAAGAAGGAGAGACTTTAAAAAGACACTTCACAACACAGATACTCACAAATTTGCAGATTTAGCAAATTCTAAAAGAACGTCATGTTCAAGGCAAGAGAGGGCTCCAGACAGGAACAGCTGCAACAAAGCTGATTCCCTTTCTGCTGCAGGAACTTCTTCTTCGGTGACTAGTCTCGACACAGTATCCGTATACAAAGAGGCTTCCATCCTAAGTGATCTTCCGACAGTGGAGCTACGGAGGGTTGTAAGTGCTCTTGCAATATCTGTACACTGGAAGAACAAAACAGAATATTCTTGATTCGATAGTTTTATTTTAATGATTACACAAATAAACATTACTTATCTTAAGAATGAATAACTAACTTTTCAGCCACAACAAATTTAATACTATTTACTCACAAAAAAAGGTTATGACATATCCTCTTTGGGAGTTCCTTAGTTACTTGAATAATCACAGAGAGGAGTTGAAAACAGTAATTGAAGTAATCTACCAAAAGTTGTATTCCTTTAGCTCTAACTGGTTAAATAAAAGTTCAGAAACCTACATTCAGTAGTATTACAAAATATTTCAGAAGAATATATCCTAATGATTGGTTATTATTGATGGATCCCAAGAAAATTCCTCTGATTTCCTTTTTTTTTGTTGTCTACCTCTTCCTCACCTTTTAGTCTCTATGGGCTTTTTCCCGGGACAGAGAACAGAAGGGGGGTTATAAAGGCAGAGTTAAAACCCCATCGGCACTGGGACACAAAATCGTAATTATTTTATCATTTAAACTCGGTTAATGAGATCTATCTGACATCCTGTCCCCTAATCTCTCTAATTTGTATAAATACAATGCAACTTGGTCTGTATAATGCAGACATATTTATTTTTGTCCTCATCAAGCAAATGGCTGATATGTATCTCCCCCCTCTAAAAGAAATACTGGTAATTTATATTATTGTTAAGAGAGGGTAAAAGGAGAGAAATTAAAAGATAATCGCTTTTTTTAATTTCATTTTTTTACATTTTCATCTCTATTACAGCCCTTAGGTTTTGTCAACTGTGATATTTGTATCGGTTTGTTTTCAATAATGCTTTTGAGAAGGTGCAACAAATCTTTCCATTAAATAAAAAATAAATCATCTAAGCTGCTGCTGGAGAAACAAAAAAAATAATGTATCCCAAAACAAGCAGACTTTAAACAGCAACGTAAAAGCACTTCAAGGTTGATTTAGTGAGTATTCACAATTATAAAGTTATAAAAAATGGTTTGAACAAGGTATAGTTATGTGCCAACTTTCTTGGGTGTAATTTAGATTTATTTCATAGGTTTTTAAAAAAAGAAGTGCACATATCTTGTTTATAATAATAATTTTAAAAAAAATAGAAAATTTTGATTGGAAAGTATGTGTCAGCTCTGAAGTTTGTTGTGAGTGAAAAGATAATTTGGAAAAAATAATCTATTGTTTTAAGTTTATTAACCACATATATTTTTAATAGCTATCAGTTAATTAATACTTTTTATTTTTGCACCCAATTATTGATAATAAACTGAATTTTAAAAATGATGAAATTTTTTGAAGCTGTATAATAAACATTCATAAAAACTCCAGAATACTGATTCGATAAAGAGACATTTTGAAATTCAACATCAAAACTTTGATTGTTCTAGTGTAAAACGAATCATTAAGTTACAAAAAAAAAAAAAATGAAAGATGCTGGTAAACTACTTATTAAACAATACAAATGATAATCATACCCTGAAACTGGTTCCGTCAGTCATCACTTGTATAATAATGTCAACAAGGCGCTGCTTCATCGTCATAGATAAACCAGTGTCGGAAAAAGCTATTACAAGAGCATTTAAGAACTCCCGACTATCGAATTCCAGAAGTGTCCTGCAATCAAAAAATCATTTTCAATACAAAAGTTCAAGATTATAATGTTATAAAGATTATTGTATAATAATGAATATACAACAGAAACACAAAGCTGATTTTAATAAAGAATTTGATATATTTTTATTTTTTAATTCTTTATTGTTTTCTTAATAGTGTATACTGGTCTATCAGTGGAAATAGCTTTAAGTGTCTTGACATAGTGTTAATTGTTTTGTATATACTTTCGTTTGTTTTGTATATAGAATTTTTATCTTATATTTCCTTTACAATATTTCTTTTTTTCGATTGATTTTATTTTGGCCAGATGTAATCTTTTAATTTTGTTCTATTTTGTTATTCTCAAGGAACTGTGTCCCAGAATAAAGTTATTTTCTATCTATTCTATCAAATATATATTAACATATATTCTATTAACATTCAGGGTGGTATACATAGCCGTTCCTCTAACTTCATTTGAAACTTCAGTCAAAAAGCAATACCTTTATCAAACTTCAGTCTAAAAGGAATACCTTTATCAAACTTCAGTCAAAAAGGAATACCTTTATAAACATAAATGAAAAAGGGCTCCTTTCAGACGATTAGATGTTTATTCTTCTCTTGAGCATTGAAGAGAAAGTATCAATTGAGCATTGAGTAAGTAATGGAAGTAACGGGATTATTTCAATTTACATCATTATTTTTTAAAGAGCGTTTCAGCAACAAAATGGTTTGAAATTAGCCTTTTTTCATTGAGTTCCATAAAAATATTTCTTTTTGATGGAAATTTGATTAGAGGAACCCTATTCATGCCACCGCTACTGTATAGGGTGAGTTTTAAAGCTTAAACCAAAGGAAGAATTGTAATTGGTCAACATTTTTTTTTTTTTAAGGCTATTAAATTTGCTATTTAAAGACCCTTGGAATCCAAAAAAGTTTATTTTTCAAATAAAAGACCTTTTGTTCTTCTAAATTTTAAATCAATTAACAACTCAGAACAAAATATAGCATGGAAAGTTATTTTATAACTTTTAAAAAAATTACAGAAACATAAATTGATTGATCAAAGTATGTATTGTGAGAATAGTCTTGATACATAATCATTTATTTTCCAAAAATATTTGACTAAATTACATAAAGATAATTTTTAATAAAACAATAATATCAAAATCTCAAAAGGGTTACAGACAAATAATATTGAAATTCTAAAATTGTTGAACTTATTAAATATAAAGTAGTGAAATAAAAAAAATAAAAAAACTAAATACCTAATATAAGGGAAAGGAGGTTCATCATCAGGAGCTGACAAGCTGTGCTGGCTAGCCATCGCTCGAACTACTTGAGCACGCTCGCCTTTTTCCTCTCCGAGGCTGCCGGACAGACAAGAGGCAACATACACCAACAGCAAATTTCCGAGCCTCCTACATTCACTGCTAGCTGAGCCTTCGTCTAAACAGAAATATTAAAAAGTAATATTTTATTTTAATAAGAGCAATTTTCAATGAGAATAGAATCGATACAAAATATTAATTTCGATCAATCCAAATTCACAATGCAATCTAATTCTAAAGTCAAGCAACCTGCAATCGTGCTTATCTGAAGCAAAATATTTAAGAAGCAAATAATCAGATCATTCCCTTTGAGACGAAGTCACGAGAGTAGTGGTCCCTCTAATATTATACAAACCAAGTAATGGTTAACTATCTTACAATCAGTCTCAGAAATTGTTATCTTAAATTTCTCAATTCATTGAAATATCACAAAACCCTGTGACTCAGGCCTTGATATAACCTTAATCCTCAATATGGTGGCAGACAATAACCATAACTTGCATAATTTTTATCTAGGAGTTATGGAGGGTGGGAGGGGGAGTGAACTGGTCTATTAATAATAATAATACTTTATTTATTCTGGGAGGAGTCCCTTAAGAATAATACAGGACAGAAATGTGGGCTAAGCAGCCTCAGAGATACATAAACAAAAATACAGAGTAATTAAATAGTCAAAATAATAAAAGAAATTATAAGTTACTTTCTAACCTAAAACAGTTCATAATAAAAATAAAAAAAGTAAAAATAATGAAGAACGATCAAATAATTTATATACATATTTACGGTGGTATCTATTTACAATTTCATGGGGACTGGATGGATAAGAAATTATTGAACAGGCGGGATTTAAGGGTAGAAAGGGTATTGTATTGACGGATGTGAGAAGGGATGGAGTTCCATAGAGATGAGGATCGGATAATGAATGATATTTCGAAAGCAGGTGGGGTTTGGTGGACCCTTATGTATAAATCAGAAGACCTGGAACGAGTATTGCGGGAACGAACAGAGGATTTGAATAGGAGGAGCTTGGAGATGTATGAAGGTCGGTGGGATTAGATGACTTGAAAGAGGAAGGATGCCAGGAAAAACTTACTACGGTAGGAAGGGTAAAGCCACTTCAACTCTACATTAACTGTTTTGTATTAAATGTACATATTAAGGATGTACATTTAAAATAATGTTTCTGATAACTAATATTGTTAAGACATATTCATCCGCATGACTTCGCAATTAGTCGTTCGCATATTTACAAGCAAAGTTAAGCCTAAATTTCAAACCGATCAGTAAAGAACTTGCCATGATTTAAGATTTAGAACAAATGAACATTTACATTTTTATTTCTCTTAAAATAGTCAACACAAATTTTAATAATAAACATATGAAAATACACATGCTTTCTATTTTCTTTCTTTTCCACTTTCCCAGACTGAGCCACAGCTTGGTCGGGTAAATCTAGTGTATATATAAAATATGTAAAAAAAAAATTTAGATTGAATTATACATAGATCAGCTGATATGCTAATAAGATTACCCACTTGTTAGAAAGGATTTGAGTTTTGGGACTAGTTCGATAATTGGACTAGTATAATCACTCATTGCTCTATTCCAAACTGATATCAGCGCAGAGTAGAGGTTCTGTTTCTTGCATAACTTAATGACCTGTTCAATATCTAAGCAGGTCACTTCCACCCTCTGGATGCATTCTTCAAGAATCTGAAACAGGAGCATAATTATTAATTAGCTTGAAATTAATAAATAATTTAACGCATAATTATTATGCCTTGTATCACCCAGACCCTCCGGGTTCAATACTTTGTAAGGAAGTACTACTTCTTGGTCACTAAAATGCAAATTTTTTTCCTCTTAATAAATTATTTAATTAAGAGTATCTACTTTATAGAGAATTGTAGGAGAGGGGAAGGGGGTCTCAGGAGGATCTCCTGACTCCAGGTTTGGTCCATGGGTGACGAAAAAGAACAAATAATTACCTGTCAAAGCCGGACTCGAACCCAGAACCTGAAGTGTAGGAGCACAGTGCCTTATTCACCAAGATAACCCACAACCTATCATTACTATGGCACATAATGAATCAAATTAATAACTAAGATACATGAATATTGGGATACAAGAACAATAATTACAAAGCATGGTTTGGATAAATTTGTATAGTTCCTAAGCCAAAGGGATATTATTTCATGCCTCTCCCTAATTGAGTAATAGAGTCACTTATCAGTTAAAAATGCTAGCCTAAAAATAAAATCCTTATATTATCATTTCCATATTTTAAGCATTATTATAATTGAATAAAAATTTTCCTCTTAAAATGGCAAGTAGTTTACAACTAAGAGTTCATTAATTTCATAAATTCACATTACTAAACAAGTTTTAAAGGAATTCAGTACTTTTGCATTCAAACATTTTAGCAGCAGCAAGGTTTTTTAACACATATTCTTCTACATGGCAAAAATTCATCATTTTGCAAACAATCAACAATAGCCAAATGAAGAAAATTCTTCATTTTTATACTACAGACAATAATTGATTCTTCTTCTTTTGATTCCAAATAAATTAAATTCTAATTTTTATCAATCAGATATAAAGATATGCCGGCATTTTGTGAATGGCGGTGGAAACATTTACAGGGCATGCTGGAAAAATGTGTGTTAACTACATTATATTTAAGTTTAGGATGTCCAGAAGGGGTGGTATGCTACCGTGGGAATAACTATACTAATTACTTACATCCCACGACTGCTTGGATTGCTGGAAAGAAACTAGCCTCTGCATTACTTCAGGAGGTATTTGGACCAATTTTCCCTCCAATATCGCAGCTTCCATGGATTCTAAAAATAAGGATCTGCCATCGTTCAGTCCATTCCACAATTTATCAAAGATCAGATCTCTAGAAACAATATCATTAAAATTTTCAAAATTAGAGTTATATCTGATAATTAAGAAGATAAAGCTTTCTCAAGATGTAATAAACAATAAACCAAAAAACTATAAAATTTACAATGTAAACACAATATAAACAGATGCGAATACAAAAGTATGTGAATTTGTAAATATGTTATATTTTTGAATTTCCTGGAAAAATCTTTATCAATCAATTTAATTTATTTTGTTAAGTAGACTTTCTTCATGAATCATATAAAAACATTAATTTTGGTTGTATTGTCTCCATTTTCAGCACCTTCTCTGAAATAACCAACTAACTTATTAAAACTAGATCTCTAGTTGAACATTGGCCTAGGAATTAACAGCCATCCTTGTCTACCTTCAACACCGTCTTACACCTATTCATCTCAAATCCTCTCAATCAAGTCATTTAACCAGCTCAGCCCCACTCAATCTGTTTCCCCCTGGCCTGTTATTCAGCATCTTTTTTTATAACCTCTCATCCAGCATTCTCAGCTGCCGCAGTCTTTCTTCTTTGAAGATGGGCACAATAATAGGCTCACGGAAGACTTTATCGAGCATCCTATTTTTTCTTATTCTGGTGATTTTTGCAGATTCAGACAAACAAGCATCTGTTACCAGCCACTATTTATTTAACTCTGCACTTATATAACTTTCTTCTGTTAGTAGAGATCCTAAATAATTGAGGCTCTTGCAGAGTTTGAATTTGTGCCCATTAATTTGCATTTCATAATCACTACCTGCCTGAGTTCTGGAAATTTTCATGTATTGTCTCAGTTTAATTTGTTCTTAAGCCCTTGCTTACTGTCGCCACTTCGAACTCTTTTAAAACTCTTGAAAGGGCTCGAAATGTGTATGCTTTGATGGCTAGATCATGTGCGTACGACCAATGGCAGGGGAGGGCCATTATAAATATTTCCTCCAGGATTGGTTTTAATTGCTCTAATCATTTTTTTCTAACCAAATTCTGAGTAATAACATGCTATAATATCACTGATTTTTTTTATCATTTCATGTTGGGAATGATGCCACCAAACATTAAAGGAATTATGTGGTTATTTTTTTACTAACAAAATAAATCCATGAAGAAACTCTAATTATCAAAAAAATTAAAATTTACATACACATATAATTGTTTTTGTCATTATTTTTTTAAACACAAAACAAAGATGATAAACATATTTTTCAACTAAATTATGGTATAATTTATCAAAACTGATAAAATGCAGTTTCGTTTTTTAAATTTATTGATTATAAAAATATACTATTTAACAATAATTTACTTTTGGTCTAAATCGAGGCAATATTCGACAACCAGAGGAATGGCTTCACATAAGTTAATTTCTGGATCGTCAGCTAGTATGTTATCGATGAACTTCGAAAGTGTATCTACAACCTGAAAAGATAATAGAGTGAAAGTCAAATAAAAATTTAAATCAAATACACACACATTTGTTATTATTTTAAAATAAAAAATTGAATTAATGAAGATTATCACAAAGTAGGCGATATTTTAACATAATAGATTTAAGAAATTGAAGAATTATTTTTAATACATAAAATGAGTATATAACTCAAACCAGAGACAAAATACCAGCATTTAATAAATTTAGGAATTTACAAGATTAAAAACTAATGAGTTTTCTATGCTACATGGAAGGCATTATACAACAAAGTGTTTGTTTAAGGCTTATATTAAAAAACAGGAAGTGAAAATATATTATAATCTTGAGGAAGTATGAATGTTCCAAAGAATTGGTTGATAGGTTACAAATTGAATTTTACAATAGAAACTATTTTTGCTCTTTTTAGAAACAATTTTTATATTAGAAACATAAAAAAAAATTAATTAATTTATTTTAAAATATGAAAATGATCAGATACACACCAATACTAAATATTATTTCAAATAATCACTTTCTGACATCAGCCTTTTAACCTATTTCTATAGTTAATGTCTAAAGTTGTGCAGGCTAGCTACATCCAAACACTCAAAAAGGACAAAAAGTTTTTCAAAAAGTCATTTTGGTTGATTTACGATATATATTTATTGATATATTAGTAGTAGTTATTAATATAGGAGTAATAGAAATTTGCATATTGTATACAATCAATTCTAATTCTAGATTTTTTTTTAATTGTCTCTTTATACAATTGATTGATGATGAGAGTTAATTTTATTAAAAATTAAATGAAAATTGTATCCATTAACTACATAATAAATATTTATTTTGCATAAATAAAATAAGAGACAAATAAATAATTTGTAATAAATAAATAACTAATAATAAACAAATAAATCCTTTCTTTAAACCTTTTCTTTAACTTGCATCCGACGAATTTCTCTAGTCCCTTTTAAACCCAGTACAGCTTTTTCTCGTTCTTCATAGAAATTCATTCCAAGCTTTAATGCCTCTTCAAACCTATTCTACAAAACAGACAGAGCTAAAATTAACAAAATACTCATGTAGTTAATAAATAAAAGTACTGAAGTAAATGTTATCTCTTAACATTTATTACAAAAACATATATTACCGCTTTAATTAAGTTGTCTATCCTCTCAGACCAGAATCTAATAGAGATAACATGAAGTGCTTTTGGTTCAAGTAGTAAAAGCTGATTTCCAAAACTAGCTACTGAGTTGTAGCAAGCCTTTTTCCCAGCTAGAGCCTGAAAACAATTATGAGAAAACTTTGTATTGAAAAGAGGAAACTGGTATTTGGCTTTACATAACCTTATCAGGTAATTAAGATTTGAATTGTTTATGTTTTGTGTACTTTTTTATTCTTTCCATACGGTTATAAAGTAGGATCAAGTAAGTACTTTTAATTCTTAACTTAAAGAAACAGTTTTATTTCCTTGATAATGAAACAAAGAGTAATTTCAAGTAAACAGTGAAAATATAATCCTTAATTTTATAAACAAAACAAAATCAGTGCCAGAACCCAATACTTATTTTTAAATTATTTTTATGCAATTCAGTTTTTTAAAATATGCATATTACGTCTAGAAAGAAGTTTTAATACTCACATTTGTTAAATAACATGAAATAATAGTAGCTCCAAAATGTATGTATGATTTTTTTATATTAATTACCAAATGCAAAATATATGGTAATTATTATAATTTACTAATGTATTTCAAATATATATATTGTTTTGTTATTTTATTATTTATTAGAATTTTGTCATGATTAAATGGATATGTTTATACTAATATGAATGTTACTGGTAACAAGTTTGTCGAATATTTTATGAAAAAATCAGGCACTGTAATATAATTTTTCATCTAAAATATAGCTCAATAATAATATAAACATATAAATTTTATATAGTAAATTTGATAAAATTGCAAATAGGAAGTTTCTTTAAATTATTACTGACAAAAAATGCAAGTGTGATAGTACTGATAGTTTACATATGTTCCTTAATACAAGCAATAATTAATAAAAATTATTAAATAAAATGTATATTCTTTTTTCACTAGTTAAAAATCACTTAAACGACCACAGCGGATGTATATGCCCACTTATTGATTTACCCAAGGAACCACAGCGCCCACCACTGAGATTCACAAACACGCTTGCTTTTGTTTAAGTTTCCAAAAATAATCAATTATAAGCACTTAAGAAATAACTACCAAGGGTAAAAATATGAAAATAAAAATTAAAAAAAAAAAAAATGTAATATCACTATGAACAATAAAAGGCACATACATCCACTCCATTTTTTTTTTTTGCTAGTTATTAGTTATTACGATTAAATTATTTTTAAAACTAAAAAAATGCATGATACTTTTTTTAACAGTATATTACAACTTTTGAGAGAAAAAAACAATTTCGTCAATGGAGAAACTTTCACTCGAATGGCTTGGTGGTTATTAAAAGTGTTAAACAAGTACTGAACATTATTCCTTAGGAACCATTTAATTTTATTTACGTGATTCTGATGGATATGGATTTATTAAATACATATTGATCAATAATATAATCTCAAGGTATTCCAAGGGACACAATCAACAAAATATAGGTAATGGCGCGATTACATTGAGCTAATTTACAAGAAACTAGCTGGTCAATTCACTAGCTACTAGCATATTTCCTTGAACTCCTTACCTCACCCCCCCCCCTTCCTATCCTGTGTTATCTACAAACAGCAGACAAAACAATCTGCGAAAGAAGTTGAAATGCAAGCTATTTCACTTACTACTTATTCAATGGCATATTAACTTGCAAGCTAGTAAACCAGATTGGTTTATATTGGTAACTATCTTTACCCGGCCACGCACTGCTGTGGCTTAGCATGGCAAAATAGGAAGCATAGATGAGTGGATTAATACCAAACATCTGTCATTTTTAAAAAGTTGGGAAACAAATTTGTCTGTAAAATGGCTTCAATTAAAACTAATTCTAATAAATTTTTTTCATGATTCAACTTGAACATTTGTAATCATCTGAGTGAATACGCTGTCATTCTTAATCATCAGAAACAGTCTGAGTTGAACTTATAAAACTAAAATTGACTTTATCTCTGCTTTCTAAAAATGACAGAAATCTGTCCTTTCATATCAAGCCACTAATATATTTTCATATTTAATTTAACTATTATTTTTTGTTATATTTGATGTATTAATTAATGTTCAATTTTACGTTGATCATTTTATGGAAAACAAAAATGTAAATGTTTGGTTGTTTAAACTCTTAAATCTCAGAAAGTTCCTCACCCATTCCCTTGAAATGTTGGCTTAAATATGGGCATGGTTTAATATATCTACTATTATAAAATATAAGGTGAAACTATACATATTTATTAAAAACGCAACATCAGTTGGATGTAAAAGCAACATATGCGGTTCAAAATATTTTACGATACTGTTTCAATGTTAAAGATTTTCAAATATCAATTGTGGCAATGCATTGAAATTGCGCTATACTATTTATCATAGCGTTCATTTGGTGTGAATTAGAGCTGCCTTCCACCTTCCTCAAAAGATTTTGCATACCTCTCCTAAGATAGTTGATTGCTTGCTTCTTCTTAATAACAACTTGATTAAATATAGAATTGTAACAATTGTAGTGCAAAAATAAACCATACTCATGAATTTTTCTGAAGAGAAAGCAGTTAATGTTTAAAACTCTATAACTCAGCAACAAATCGTCCGATTTCGATGATTTTTTTTTTACTTGGTCAGCAATTCAGGAATCTTTCAAATAAATATGGATATCATCAATCAAAAATTGTGTATTTTTTTAGTTATTGGTAAATAAAATATTGAATTCATCGCAACTTTTTTCAGCTTGTTTTTGGGGTTATACACATAAACTAAAACGGTTTCAAGGGGAAGACTTTAGTCAAGTTTCGTTAAAATCGTTAAAGCCGTTTTGGCGCTACGGTTTATAGCGACACATTTTTTTGCAGCTTTGAACGAAAAAACATTTACATTTTTATTTTTTTTACAAATATAAAATTATTGTAAGACAGAAGTACTATGCCAGAAACCTTCCCAAAGTGTACGGAATAACTTCCCAAAGATATACATTCATTTTTATATATATAGATAAACTACTTATACTTTAATCACCACTATCACACTAGACGACTTGCCAGGTTCTAAACTCGCTGGCCTGTAGATTGTAAACAAGCTCAATGTAATTAAGCCTCCATATCAGAGTGCGAAGTTGTCGTTATTTAAACAACCACATCATTTTCTTATTGGTCTACAATCATAGATATACATTTACCATTGCTTTGCTGACATTGCCTCCGGTACAGGCTCCCTCAAAAGCAAAAGAATTAAAAACTAATCCTATCCCAGAAAGGTCGGCAACTTGTAGCTCAGCTTTTGTCCTCACATCGACTAAATGCAACATGGATTCGGTGTCTAGCACGGCTATGGTCCTTGGGCTGAGCCAATGGCAAGCCATCGCCGAATAGTTCAAGGTTAATCCGTGAAGTCCATGACATGAGAGGCGTCCAGATCTTTCAACACTCACCTATGAATAAAATAAATTTTAATAAGTGCTGGTTTATTGATTAATTAATTATACTATCATTTATATACTAATAACATGTACGCACATGCATGCATATAATATATGACCATAAATATATTATCCATAGTATTTAAAATGTTTGACCTTTATATTATAATGTCTATTTTCACTTAAGTTTATGACTCCTAGGTCAAAATAATAAAAATCAAAATTAACTTATGATTATTACTTATTTGTACGTTTCAGGGAATCTGTGTCCCCCTCCTCAGCAATTGATATACCAATTTATTTTAGGTTCAACGTAAAAACTAGTCATAACTACAATAAATAAAATATACAACACATAAAACAATTTTCAAATATAAATTACTTACATTTTATTCCCCCAAAAATATTGAGTAAGTCAATATAATGTAATAAGTTTGGTTCAATGTTTAATATGCAACGAAAAGGATCATGGCAATAAATAGGGTAGTTGTTGAGGAGGAAGGGAGGTTAGAATCTTAAATGTTATTTTATGGTTTGATTCTTTTTTTCAATGTGAATTTCAAATCTTTTTTATTCAATGTTTGTTCTATATATTTTTTTATAAATAAATATTCCTTTATTTTCCTTTTTATTGTATTTTTTTCCCAAGTATTTTCACACTGGTAAAATTAAACTCATTTTTGTAGTTACCCTCTATTATATGTATGCTTAAAGCAGTGTGATTTCGATTGTGTTTTATACAATTTTTATGTTGATGTATTCTTTTTTTCTTTTTTTTTTTTTAATTTTGCATTGATTCTCCTAAATATATCTTTTTACATGAACATTGCAGGTGATAAATGTTGTTTTTAGTATCCATTATTCGAATAATATTTTTTATTCTGCTGAAATTGTGTGATATTGTGTTCTGGTATTTCCAAATAATTTTTTATTTGATATTTTTTAATTTACTACAACAATCTAATTTAAGATCTTAACCTTCCCCTCCCTACCAACTACCCGATTTATTGCCATAATCCTTTTAGTTGCATATTAAACATCGAACCAAACTTATTACGTTATATTGACTAACATAATATTTTTGGGAGAGTAAAATGTAAGTAATTAATATTTTTTAACAAATTTTGTAAAATAATTTATATTTATTTGAAAATTGTTTTATGTGTTATATATTTTGTTTATTGTAGCATGACTGGTTTTTACATTGAGTCTAAAATATAATGGTATATAATTTTTTGAGATTGCTGAGGAGGGGACACAGATTCCTTGAAACGTACAAATAAATAATAATTAGAAGTTAATTTTGATTTTTATTATTCTGACCTGGAAGGCATAACTTCAATGAAAATAGACACAAATAAATTAACTCATAAGGGAGAAATTAGATTTAAAGTTTTTTCCTCATCAGGATAATTAGAAAAACTTATATTGGTTAGAATTTAATGATAAGTAGTAGGAATGATAAAATTCGACAAATTTAGAATATTAGTCACAATTTGAGAAAAATGTAAAATATTGAATCATTCTTGTTTCACCTGGAAATGCTAAAAATCACAGAAACATTTTTAATCCATACACTCATTTATTTATTTCGGTTAGTAGTTTTAATTTAATATAGCTATAAGTTACTTGTTCTTCTTATTATATTTTTTACTTACCATTTGTTTTTATTGTTTTGATAATCTTAATTAATAACAATAAAGGCATAGCAAACCTGAAGGTTCATCAATGATGATACCATCAAATGATCTGTATATAAAACGTCCAATTATCTGGATTATTTTTTTCACTGTATCATATATAAAATATTTTACTTATTTATGCTTAAATTAAATCTTTTAGTGCTAATTTTAATAAAATAAATGTTATGTTGTTTTTACTAGATATGGCCATGTTTTGATGTCCGTTTAATGTTAAAACTTAAATTTACAATGAGATGATAAGGATATAAAAGCTGTTGAACAAAAATAAAGATAACCCTTTAATACCACTAATTATTTCTACAACAAAGTTAATATATAGGTTCATAATATTGAATATTTGACCATACCATTAGAAACTAAACCAAAGTAAAACGTTTCATAAAATTATTTTAAAACAGAAATCACAAATCAGTCAGAATTTTAATTTGTAAAAAAGAGCAGAATTATACTTAAATAATTCAATAAAATAACCTGGTAGAAAAAGATTGATTCGTGTCTAGCAACCGCAAGCACCGGGTCCATGACGCGCATGCTATCAGCCACTTGTATAACGACAAATTGCCAGGACAGGAGCGGTAGTGTTGTAGCAACAGAACGTAAGCTTTGAGTGAACAATAACCTCGTTCCAGGTCTTAGACTTATCAGCAACACCTAATGTTCACAAAGTAATAAAGCAATTAGACGTAAAATTGATTAAACATTCATTTTCAATAATAAAACATATGAAAAAAATAAATAGATTTTATGACCATTTTATATAGTATTATAAGACCATTATCTACTTTATTGATTGGCACCATAGTAGACCTTGATGATATTGCAATCATTGATGTGTACACATCTAACAGAAATTTAAACTTGAGAGATACAAATAACTGACGGTCATCGAATAAATTAAGAAATAAGTTTACATATTATGTTATCAATCATTCATTGAATGGTTAACTTCCCATCTGAGAATAGACAGAACAAGGGTAACAACTCTGACTATAAGCATCAATTATGAGTAAATAGACCATCACTCAGCATATCTCAAGGATCTGAGTTCTTCTTTGGAGTATATTGTCTATGAACAAAGGTCCTACTTCGGGAGTTGCCAAACTTATGTTATAGATTCTAAATAAATCTTTGAAATATCTTTCATATTCCTTTTAGTAACCCTTAATATGTTACATCAACCAGTTTGGTAACCCCTGCACTAGATAGTTATATCTTAATGTTTTGAAGGACCAAACAATGGTCTAAATTAAGATCAAAGTAATTTGCTTCAGCAACTAAGGTTCATTGAGAAAAAATAATTCATATGAAAACTTAACAAAGTACGAAATAATTCATCCATCCAACAAGTGATTCAAATCTATATTAGTTAGTTGTAAGTGCCTAATGGTAGTTTAAAAGTAATGAAGATAAATTAACTTACCTTAGATAAAGTTGCAACCGCAACCAGCAATGATCCAGCTAAAGGATGTGTTGGAAGTTTGTTTAACAGAAGAGGTTCAACGGCAACCACTTCACCTCTGCTGCCAGAGAATATACACCTTGAATCCCATGACCTAACTCCCAACACCCTCTTCAGGGATATTTCAAAAACTGAGCCACCAGAGTCAGAGAGTAGAGCAAGAGAAGGAATATCTGTAAACTTCATCAAACCATTAAAAAATTCAGTTATGTCAAATATACTTTGTAAGAATAATTTATATATGTAACGAAATACTTACTTTAACATGTAGGACAGCAGTTGAAAGTGTATGAGACTCAGGTGAAATAACCCTTAGGACTTTAGCATCAGCTGTATCGAGCATAAGGACAAGGCCAAGGGCATAGCCTGCCAATAGTCTTGTAGAGTCTGTGTTGATCGCAATGGCTGTGACTGGTCCATCTTCAGGCTGATTGTGCGTCCACCGATGCTTCTGCGATTTCTCATAACAAAGAATCGCTCCTGTAGATGTCCCAATACCAATGAGGCAGCCAACAGCCATGGCCGTGCAATCACCTTCCTGCAATAAAAATCATTTATTAGATAAATATTAGGTTAAAATGTGATTTTGAGACCAAGCATATTTGAAGCAGATCTCAGATTTCTTGGAGCAAAAAGTGGTGATGGCTTAGTTTTGGTCTGAAGAACACGCAACTGCCCCATTCTGGTTGAAAAGGTTTCTAACCTGCAGCAATCCTTCCACCCAGCCAGTAGAACGCATAACAGCAAAACTGCTTTTTTCGAAGATCAGAATAACTCATTACAAAGAGGTAACTTTGACTCAATACAAAATTGACAACCATTTAGGGGGCGGGGTGGCCGAATAGGCTAAAGCGTGTGCACAACACCGCTAGTTGCCTGGCAACCGGATAACAGAGATTTGAGATGATATAAAAAGTACGAGTTCGCGTCCCGGTGCCGGAGGGGATTTTAAATTCCCCGCCCTCATCCCTCGGCCCGGGAAAATCCCGTATAGCCTAAAAGGCGAGGTAGGGAAGAACAAAAAAAAAAAAAAAAAAAAAAAAAATTGACAACCATGGATAGACTGATAAGATAATTGAATGGAGGTATTTATTTGTTATATATTAGTTAAAAATAATCATAAAATAATAATGGGCATTGCAGGCCACAAATATACTAGTAGAGAGGTTAAAGGGATTAAAAAAGAAGATTAGTTTATGTGTGAATTTTCCATCAGAAATATGCATACAATTTAAACGTTACTTAATTATTATAATAAATAGAAGTGATCATAATTTGCTGGGTCTTTATTATTATCAATAAAAATAAACTGTTAAATTCAAAACCAGATAAGTGAGAATCTCATTAATTTATAAGACTACTTATGGGGCTTAAATCTAATCATTTCTAAATTCCCCTGAATGTTCTCTACTATGTTTATAAGTTAATTTATGTTAATATGAATAGAAATAAATACAATATTGAAAGGAGCTCGATTTTTTATATACTACAAAGAGTTCATTTTTGAAAATAATAAGTCAAAATATGTACCCACTCTTTGACTACCACTACTAATGTTATATACAATGCTTTTCTGCTGCTTGACAAAACTTAAAATACCATCATTGTTCCTTATGTACGAATACATGGAATTGGTTAAAAGTACAAAAGGGAATGGAACAGGCAGTATATCACAGAATTTCTTAGAAAAGAAAAGATGAGGATTTTAAATTAATGATGATGACTTTTAATTTAACTACCTTCAGTTAAAATTAAACACTTATAAGTCAGAAATTTATTTTTTGTTTTAATAATAAAGGAGATTTTTTGGATGGTTATATGGATCTTTGCCCTAAGAAGCCTTAACGGATTATTGTTTGCCTAATGCCAGTCAGTTCAAACACTATCTGCGCTACCAACGTATGAGTCCTATTATTCCACATATTAACTAGAGTGAAAATAATAAGTATAATCATTCAAATTCCAGAACAGTTGAAGATAACAGCTGAAAACAAGGAAGATTAAAAATATAGCAAGATCAAGGTCTATGCAATATAATTGAAGACAGTCAACCCATAAATTCAAAGTAAATAACTATACTAATATCTCAATCGATCTTATCAGCAAAAACTAAAATGAGACACATTCTAATAAAATAAATACAAAAATTTATTTTAATATAATTAAATAAAATATATTTATTAAACAAATGTATGAATTATTAAAACAAGAGATTACACAAAAGTATGCGGGCTATAAAATAAAATCAAACTTCAAATAATAAATATAAAAAGAAAAAGAATATTTTCCTGTCCATAGTCTATAGACATACAAGCCAATATCATTTAATATAAAGCTTGTAGAAACATTCAGAAAAAGTGTAAATTTCAGTAAAAGAAACAAATAAAATAAAATTAGAGAGGTAGAAATATACTACTAGAATAAGACATTGTTTATGTATTACATATAGAGGAATCAGTAACAAAATTTGTATATATGTGTATTTATCGAAACATAACGATTCTCTGATTACAGCTTTATATACTAAATGTTTGTCTACTATGGACTGTTATTATAAAGAGCCAAACACAGAGTAATTATAAGATGAATATAAAATTGAACAATTGTAAACTATTAAGTTATAAACACAAACAAAAAGGAATCGTAAACGTAGTTGAGGAAAAATAAACTTAATAATGTTCACTGATTTATAGGAAAATGATGACTCTTAACAAGAAGTAATAACCAAAAAGGATTTAATACAATCATAGGTCATACTCACTCCTGAAAGCTGTAGATGTGCAGAAACAACTTTGAGAACAACATGCCGCAAAATATTTGGTAGAGGGTCAAGCTTCTTATGTGTGAAAATACAATTTGCTCCTTTACTCCCAACACTACTAACCGATCCAGTTTCACCTTTATCGTCGAAGCCTGGATTAAGGAGCTATAACAAAGTTAATGTAAGTAGGTGTAAATGATTGAGAATATTTAACCAAAAATAACTTTTTGGTCTCAGAAATAAGAATCATACTTCTTGATGTAAATAATTGGGAATATCATCTTCACTTATCACAGATTCATCATCATTTATGTTAGTTTTGACCAATGTTTTCTCGGCAGGCGGTAGTGTGAAATCCTTGTCATCGATCTGAAGGAATTTAAAAGAAAGGGAATAAGTAACGGCAAAAATTCATAAACTATTATACAATGTTTTCTAAAGTACCTCTGCAATATCCAGATCCAGATCTGGCACTGATGAACCTGATTCCACATCTCCATTAGAACTCATTATACTTACTTTCAAATGTAAGTGAATACTAACTATAAAAGCTTCTAATTACAGGTCCCATTTCCTCCCTTCTTAAATAATTCTGAAAATAAAGAGAAAAACCGAAAAGGCCGCAAAAATACATCACAAAAGCATCTTATAACAAAGTAGTTAACTCCCAAGGCGCTATCAACTTCAGCTGATATGTGAGAGCAGTGTTGTCACGCCGGCGTCTGCTTTCAAATTACCATATCCGACAGATAAACATATCTTCCCAATGATTTCTGTGGTAGAATTAATTTCATTCACAAATTATGGCAGTAATATTTCACTTGAAACATCAAACAAAGTATTTACTTTTAGTAATGTAATGCTCTTAGCATTCTAATAACGTAGCCGACCTTTGCGTGCTTTGAATGTAATGATAAAAGTAATGTATGCTTTATCATGAACTATATTTCTTTTTCTAATCGATAATGAGAGAAGCTATTGTTGTATTTAATTTTTTTTTAAATATTTACTACACAAACCCAACCTAATCTTAATTATACTCTGAATAACCGAGTTTCCGAAAATGCTCAACCATTATTTCCGTTTCCTCGGAAGTTCTATTCTCAAATAAATCCTGTGCTAATATATATTTTTCTTACTCAGTACCAAAATTAAAACATTGGCAAAAATAAAATAGTGATTAAAGTATGTTTTTAAAACTCAACCCCCTTGTTAACACATCGTTTTATTCAGAGACGGATACAGAAATTGTCTTCAAGATGGCATTAAAAAAAAACTTACAGAAGACTCTATATTTGACTTAAGTTATCGAATATTTCTATATCGATAGAAAATAAATATAAACAACTTGGAAACTTTACAAAAATTATATTTACAATTAGTAATAATATCAAACAGTTCAACGGGGTCATGTGGGTGTTTTTTTTTTTTTTGTATTTCCTTTTATGTGGATTGAGTTTCAAAATACAAAATAACTAACTATTTTATTATTAACCAAACCTTTTTTTTTTTTAGAATATAATTAATAAAGATATGATATAAAATTATACCTAAAATTAAAATTGTTTTTTTCTATGGACAGGGCTTAGTATATATGAGTAAATATATCATAATAGTTTATATTTTATGCGATATCCCTAATATTATGTTATAGTTCAATTTTTAACTTTTATTATAGAATCTTCTACCATTTTTATAGGTCCCCTGGAACCTCGGGGCCACAGTAAAATAGGTCCGGCAACACCACATAATGTGGTGACCCTTTTGTTTAATATTAATTAAATAACTTTAATAATTCTATATTATTGTCATCATTATAAAACATTTCTATGTAGGCATCAAGCAGTTTATTTTTCGTTCCATTTCAAATTTGAAAAACAAGAATTTTAGGACGATATCCACAACATTTTGAACCATATTTTTATTTCTCCTCCAACTAATTAATCAAATAAATACATATCTGTACTGTTTTGCTAATTTTTATAAAACAAAATAATGATTACAATTTCTATACTTACAATCATTAAGTGTAAACAAAAGAAATATATTTTCTAAAATTAGAAGATTTTTTTCTAGGGATATTATCAGTATTTTTAATGCTTGGAAAAGTATAACTTAAATCCTTATTCTGCTGATATTTTTCTGAAGATAAACCTTTAAGATAACACTTTGCCTCTCATTTGAGCTGAGTTATTGAAAAGATAGGCTTTCGGCATCAAAAGAGACTGATAGAGAGAAGGAGAAAATGTGAGTTATAAAATACATCAGGGTTTAACGTAGATAAAAGTCAATGCCATCAATTATATAAAAGGATGATATCATATTAGATTTTTTAAAGAAGGAAATCGGAAATACTAAAAAAATAAAAAAAATTCCAACAATTGCTCAGTAGTAATAATCACCTTGATTACTATGAGACAAAGTTGGATCATCGTTAATTTTTGGGTTATGATGGTTCTAATGCAATTACTGATGTTGCATTTTGCTTTTATTCTCGTCTAAAAAAATATATAACAACAATATCCGATTCAAATGTTGATATAAAACAATTTTTAAACTTATTGAAATAGGACTATTGACTCGCATGTTAAGGAGAAGAATATCTTTAAAATGAGTGGTCAATCATTGGATTTGATGAAGAATTGACGAAGTTATGGCGTACCGATAAAAAAACACCTTTTAGAAATAATATATAGGATAATTGATACGAGATTGCCTTTTCTACATTTTTTTATTAAATAATATTAAATTATTAATTGTTAAAAAAAAAAAAAAAAACACACGACAGAAAAATATTGATGCTATTTGAATGATAAAATAAAACACAATGCAATGTTGTATTATATATATATATGCATGCTTGTCTTTTGTGTATGTCTTATGCATACCTATATTTTGTCATATTAAATGAATTGTCACAATTTAATTATATTCTAGTTGCAAAATTGACTACGTTTTTTCTGAACTGACACTCACTTGCCATTGAATATACCATAACAAAAATTGAAGGAAATAATTGGTGTATCCATTTTAGAGCATGCCCCGTAAAAATAACTCCTGCGTGACACACGGAATAGTAATTTCATGATTAATCCTTGTAATTAAGTAATAATTAACAAATTCTAAATGTAATGTTTTCAAAATGTATGTAATTATTATTTCAGACTTCAGGGAGATGAGGGGGACAATGGCTACCCCAATAAAAATGGGGGGGGCGAGAATATCTTTTCGTCTTCCCCTCTAATGTTTCGAAAAAATATTTTAAAAAATAAAATGAAAATTAATAAACATGAATGAATAAGATATGTTAGATCGATCGTTTATTTTATATTTTACATATTCGTTGGTATTATTGGTTATTGGTTTTATAATTACTATGTAAATTATTACTTATAATTTTTATAATAATATAAACTCCCGAAACTTTTTTTCGGGGGTGGGGCATCGCCTCCTCCTCCAACCAGAATGGCAAATCTGTGCCTGTGTTTTTCATATTTTGTGAAATGTCTAAACGCACCTTCAAATTCGTAATGCTTGTAATAGCAACAAATACACATTTGTTAATTGCTTTCCTCAATAAAAAGTATCTCAATGGTTTTAGCAAATTTTCCCAAACATAAATATTATTATTAGGAATTAGAAAAAAAATGATTAAATTTCATAAATATAAACGCCTGTATCCCATCCTAGACTCTAATCATATTATCCCTGATCACTAATTTGGATTCCGCACATCGCATTCCACTATCCAACAATGTCACCGTGTGGTTGATGTAGTCTCCTCTGCATTGGAGCGCGGTATGTACTGCACGGGAGTCTTTCTCGACGTTGAACAGGCGTTTGATCGAGTCTGGCACCCAGGTCTTCTGTACAAACTCCGAAAAGTCCTACCCCAACACACTTCCTCATTATCCGCTCATATCTTACTGATAGATACTTCAAAATTAACCAAAATAATGCCTGCTCATCCCTCTTTGTTCAATCTGCAGGCGTTCCACAAGGTAGTATCCTCGGTCCCATCCTCTACACAGTTTATACAGCTGACATCCCAACCCATCCTGAGACTGTCATCACCACTTACGCCGATGACACATTTTTGCTCTCTGTTAATAATGACCCTTTAATTGCATCCCAAACTCTTCAATCACATATCACAAGCCTTGAAGAATGGTGTAAAAATAGGAAAATAAAAATAAATTCTAACAAATCCCATCAAATCACCTTTACCCTCCGTCGTAAACCTATGACTTCTTGTCCTACAGTATCTTTCAATAATACTCCACTTATTCCTGTTGAGCAAATCCGCTACTTTGGACTCCAATTGGATAAACGTCTTACTTGGAATCCTCATACTAGACTGAAACGACAAGAAACTGCTCGACGTTTCCGACTGCTCCAACACTTACTAGAAAAACGCTCTAAACTTTCAATTAATTACAAAAGACTTATCTACATAACTATAATAAGACCTATATGGACATACGGAGTTGAGCTTTGGGGCTCTACCAAACCATCGAATTCCTATCGTATCCAATCCTTACAATCCAAAATCCTCCGTAAAATCCTCAATGCTCCATACTTTGTTACAAATAAAACCATTCATAAAGACCTTAATGTACCATATGTCGCTGATTTAGCTCGAGCCAGATATCTATCCTTTCATGATAAACTTCAGTCCCATCCAAATCCGCTTGTTTCCACTCTTGCTTCTTCCTCGATCCCTGATAATCCTCCTAGGCGTCTGAAAAGGAGATGGCCTCGTGATCTTCTTATTTAAAATTATTTAAGGAGTGCTACAAATGGGTAGTATCTCTTCAAGCCTGTACATGCCATTATTTATAATTTGTGCATATTTACTAGTTGTATTTGTATGCAGTTGTAAATTTCATAAATATAAAATAAATAAAAAGGATGGAAGAAAATCAATATTGAATGAATCACTGATAATCTACAAAAGTTTAAACATTTATTGTTAAAAAGACTAGTTACTAAAAATTGGAAAAAAATGAATTAAGTTGTCCAACATTAAAAAAAAATTGAAGAAAATCATAATTAAATCCTTAATTTCCTCATGTCTAAAAACATCACATCTGCTTATTGTCAAGATTATGACAGGTTTAGATGAAAATATGCGGAGAAAAAAAAAAAGAATTACTAATGGTTGAAGATGTAGAGAATATGTGTAAGGGTAACATTATAAAATACCACTAACGGATCCAGGATTTAATTTTGGGAGGCTTCAGCCCCAAAATTTTTTTTTTTATAGGTATATATTAGGATAATTTTTATATATAAGGAAACGAGAAAAGAAAGAAACTACCTATAGGAAATGGTGTTTAAGTGATTCTTTAAGTTCTATTAAATAAAGATGATACTTTTAGAAATAATCTTTTTCTTTAAACATTTTATATTTTTCTTTAAACGTTTTATATTTTACCATTTTGGGGGAGTCATCAGCCCGAAAGGACCTCTCTCCCCCCCTCTTCCGCGGTAGATCCGCCTGTGCTTAATACTTAATCTCATTAAAACAATTGATACATAGATAGATAATAGAAAATAAATGAGATAGCTTGCTAGTGAGTGAAAGTTAAAAAATAACTAGTTATAGTTTTCATTAACTATAGTTAATTTATATGAATAAAAAGTAGTTAAATGACTAACTAAATGCTAATTATTTTATTAAAAATTGTTAATTATTAACTAATAGTAATTAATTAGTAAATAATAAGTGTAATTTCTTATGATTTTTCCATCAGATACCGACATAAGATACCATAAAAAGAATTTACAGTTTTATTATAAACAAAATAAAGAACTTACTAAATCTCTCTATTATATAAAGAAATATTTAGTGACTTTCATATTTTATTTTATTTAGTATTAGGAGAGTAGGAGATTACAGGAGCTCTGTTATTAGCTCTATAATTAGCACTAATTATACAGCTGTTAATTTAATTTCATGTGTGTTGAGGTTCTGTAACCTCCTACTATCCTAATACATAATAAAGATTTTAGACAACAAATTTTTATGGAAAATGATATTCATCTGGAGGTGCTAGTTTGATTTTATCTAGGTGACGCCAGTTATTTTTCCATCTAAACAATATCCTCTTGAATATAATATTTTAATTATTATATTGTATATAATATTATTTAAATGCGGTTGTGATATAATTTTAATTATAATGACATAGAAAAAGAAGCACAATATAACGCACAATGAAAATATTAGAAATAAAAGGCTCAAATTGATGTTGAGCTTATACGCACCTGACAAGATGAATATATATATTATGGTTACAAATTGGCAGTAACAATAATATTAATTATATAATAATATAAAGTGGCAATAAGGCGCGAGGTATAATATAGTTTTTTAAAGAAATTAAAAATTTATCCGAACTTCTTTCACTTTATTTTATGTAAATAAATCTGTAAATAATACAATCTGAATTACAGAATACGTTTAAATTACAGTTATAAAATTTGACATTTGGGGATTGGTCCGCCGTTAGGCGTTATTTACTTATAATTTATTTTTATAATTTAAAACGTTAGGTTTTATATCTTACAGCCAGTACTCCACTAGTAAGAAATAAAAAATAAATAAATGAAATGAAACTAACATCTGTTTGCTGTTTTGCTAATAGAACATTACAGAACAATGGAGAGTGATAAAGATAGGAATATTTATTGTCTCCCTTTAATTATTCAATTACAATAACTATCCTAATTATTTTTTTAATCAATAAAGGAGAAAAAAAAAGAAAAATGCTTGTCCAAGTCGAAAATTAATCTCCGTAAGTAATAGTCAGAAATTATATGTGTAATAATCGTTGGAAAGCAAGGAATTTTATAAATAAACTATATCTAAAATAAAAGGTCGTAGAAGGTAGTGGGGAGTGGCAAAAAAATATAAATAATAATTTCTGAACAGTATTAATAATTTAATGTTTCCAAGAAAATAAAATGAAATTTCTTAACTAAACGTAAACATTTAAAACTATTTTTAAGTTTGAAAAAATGCTATAAAATCCACCGAATCAAAACAATGACATTGTTAAAAAAAATATTTCATTTTGCTTGTGTGAAATTAGAAGTGAAATATAAAGATATTTCACGGATAGGTAAAACATATGTTTATAACCTTAAATACATTTACTGTATTTTAATAAATTTAGATCCAATATTATATTAAAACCATTAGGTATACGTCGTCAATTTATTTTTAAAAAATACCCTTTGTGAAATAACATTATACACAGTCAATGTTACGACTTTCGACTTATCGATGCTGTATTTAACAAAACAAATAACTTTTTTTTTGGTAAATTTTCCAAGGGTTAAAAAATAAATTCATTTAAAAAATGATAGAGATTTAATTCCTATAATTTTTATTGTGCAGTATTACCTTACTTATTCATTATTAAATATATGTACGTTCCAATTTCTCGTTGTCTATTGAGCTCAGAGACTGGAGTTATGTGATTCAAATATACTTATGCAGTTATACACTAGCGGATCCAGGATTTAATTTTTTTTTTTGGGGGGGGGGGGCTTCAGCCCGAAAGATTTTCTTTTCATAAACCTTCATAAAAATAATTTGAAAAAAAAAGAAAGAAATTTACTATCTATATGAAATGGTGTTTAAGTGGTTCCTGAAGTCCTATTAAATGTAATTAAACGAACAAGAGTACTTTAAGAGATAGTTTTTTATTTTTTTTTTTCTGTAAAACATGGCTATATTTTACCATTTTGGGGGAAGGGGGGGGAGAGCTTCAGCCCAAAAGCTCCCTCCCCCCCCGTAGATCCGCCTGTGCAGTTATAACGTTTTTATTTCCTATAATGGATATAATAAATAGGTTTTATGTTATTTTGATGATCTTGAGGAGTTTTTGTTTTGATAAATATGTCCAAAAATCAAAAACATATTTAGCTCCTTTAAAAATGCGCTTCAATAACGTCTTGTAATAGTCCAATTTTGCCAGCCGAGCAGTAAGTGAAAGTTGTGTGTTGCGCGCACCTGATTTTTTATTACAAATCAATTACAAGATAAATTAAAATAGCGAAGTACCATATGTAATAGATAAGGCATTAAAATATATGAAACAATATTATTATAATCAGCACAATTTTTGAAAAGTTTTGATAAGGTAAAGCCTGCGTGATACAATACGAAAAAAACCCGAATAAATTAGACCAGTATATCTAAGTAGTAAAAATGAGATTAATAATTAATAAATGATAAAAGATGTATACAAATTCTTAAAGGAGGTTATTAAGTAGCGGTTTACAAAATAATAAAGTAAACGGTAACAAAGAAATGACATGAAATATTAAGTAATATAAATTAGTGGCAAATAAAAATAAATTAAGCAAATAACAAAAACTTTCCATCTGTATTATCTATTGTTAACTATTTCACCAGTATTAAAAAATCATAAAATTTATTTGCATTTGTGGGTGTATAACTGATAGAACTACAATAATACGGCACGAGATGTCCACTTATGTATGTACGATTGAGTGTAATTCATTAGCCATCCTATATCAGGTTACCAGAACTGCAATTTAAATCTTCTATTCTATCCTGACTCAAAGGATCTTGTCTTTCTGACTTATACATTCCCCTCAACCGAACTGCTGCGTTTGAGAAATCTTTCTTAACCCGAGCTGTCTCGTTCTGGAACTCCATTCAGCCTATCATCTGCTAACTGCTTCAACGATTTCCGCGTCCAATTCCTCCCTCTTCAACCACCTTTTCCTTGTCCGGGCTAATTAATATTATTATATACTAAATCAATCACTCCTATATTTAAAATGTTTCTCTGAGTTCATTCTAGGGCTATTTATTTTTTTCAATGTAGTTTTCGTTACTGTGTAAATTTCAATTTCTTCTACACTTTATTTGTTTATTTATCACTTAATTGATTATTTGTATTAATGAGACCGGCCACACTGTTCAGGCCACTGTGTAGTGTTTTTTAATTTTATTCTTAAGTGAATTTGTCCCAGGATAATAAATATTATTTTCATTTCATTTCGAAAATAATTGAGGACAATCGCGGATCTAGGATTTAATTTTGGGTGGTGCTTCAGTCCAAATATATATAATGATAATTATTTTTGAAGAAAAAAAAGGAACTATCTACCTACATGAAATGGTAATTAACGGATTCTTGAAGTACAGTTAAAATATAATTACATGAACAACAATACTTTTAGAGACAATTTTTTTAATGTTTTTTTTTTTTTTTTTTTTTTTATAATACATCGTTATATTTTTCCATTTTGGGGAGAGAGGTCTTCAGACCGAAGCTCCGTGATAGGGGATGTTTAAAGATTAACTGAACCGTGCGTTATTTTCCGGAAATAGGAGCAAGGTTAAAACAAATATTGGTGATGATGTTTATGGAAGCTGGAAGTAAAAAAAAAAAATTAAATGTATAAATATACATCTTCTGAAATATTAACGATTATTCTATATAGTTTTTCTGTTATTCTATGAACTATTTTCTATGGGAAAAGAAATGAAATAGGAAACCACTGGCGTTGGTGTTGACTACGACCTTGCTCGCGCCCTCTGGTGGTCACTACGGAACACAAACACTCCGAGTCTGTCAGTAGAGTTTGTAGCGTTAGCAAGTAGGAGCAAACTTCTTCAGCAATGGGTTTCTGTTCTTGTACCACCAAGTACATCCTCTTCTTCTTCAACCTCGCCTGTGCTGTAAGTACCCATGTATATTTAATAATATGTCAAAAAGTGTCGTATATTTATAACAACAGAATGTGGCTAAAATAAGGCAATTTGAAAATACATATACATTTTTATATCAAAAGTTGCTTCAAAGTTTCATGCAGAATAATCCTTTGATTTGATTTGTTAAAAACTATTATTATAAATATTATTAAAATAAACTTTAAATTAAACTACATATTTTAATTTCTCCGGTACAATATTCAAAGGGCTCACACGATTTTTAAAAAATACAATAAATATTTTATGTTTAAATATATGTATGAAACTACTAATATAACACGAATAATTTTACTAAGTTCCTATTCCATTTTTTGTTGTTTTTTTCATCGTATTAGTAAACCAAAACTGATGATTGTAAAACACGAAATAAAAATATTACAATGTGATTTTATATCTCCATAAAACGAAAGAATTTAAATGATAGATAGAAATAACGAGTTTTGATTTGAAACGCAATACAACAGACGCGAAAGCCGGCATGGAAAGGAACCATATAAAATGAAAAGTTGTATTTTATGTTTTCTCTCTGAGAATTCTGGAACGTCCTTGTATTTATATTTAAAAAAATATATATATAGAATTTTTACAATATATATATTTTAATAACGTAGAATGACATCGACATTTTAGGAAAGAAAATCTTGTGTTTTTGGGTTATAAAAACTGTACGGACGAAATTACAACGGATAACCGACGCCGAATTTAACTGAAAAAATTAACCTAATTTCTTCTTTAATTGTTTGATAACTATTAAATTCTTTTTTATGACATATATATAATGTTAAATTTTACGAGTTTTATTTTAGATTAAATAAATGACTAGTATTCTTCCAATAAATAAAATTTAAATTAGATTTTATGTACATTTTTTGGATCAAGTCCAAGCCAAGGCCAGCCTTGTCCAAGCTTTGTTATGGTTTTTGTTTACATTGAATGAATTTTGGCGGTAAAATAAAAACGCAGATTGTTACCAGAAAATGGTTTGCTGATTTGTTGTAAATCTATATATATTTTAATGCATGAAAAATACCTTGTAATTTCCAATACTTTTTTTTTTTAAACTGTTATATGTCTGATTTATGTGGTTTAATTTTACTATAATCATTTATTTATAATCATTAATTTGATCTTATCACTCAACTAATATGTATAACTGATTTAAATGATATTACAAATTTTGAATTAATTATATGAATAAATTAATGGGAAAATGTTGAATACACCTCTCTTTTTATTTTTTTGTGTATAATTTATCATCTTATTCTAGGAGAATAATTTTAATTACAGTAACAGAAACATTGAAATTAAACATGTAGTGTATAAGTTCGTGGTTTAGGGAAAACATTTTCAAATTTTTGAGAGGAATACATTTTTGTGAGGTTTAATTTTTGTGCGGTTTCTGGAGAAACATTCCAGCCAGAGAACAAGTGGAAAAACATGGAACTGGCCCAACAAGTGCAGTTGTATATCATGCACAATTTTTCAAATTCTGTTTTTGCATTAACTTTTTATAAGAAGAGGAAAGCAATAATATTTTTTAAGAAAGGGATGTACCATCGACGTTGGAAGAGGATGGGCATCCCTTCTGGCACAGGCGGTCTACGGAGGCTTTCGGGCTGAGGCCCACTCCAAAATGGTAAAATGTAACCATCTTTTATGGAAAAAAAAATTTTAAAAATATCTCTTAAAGTATTATTGTTTGTGTAATTACATTTAATAGGACTTCAAGAATCACTTAAACTCCATTTCATATAGGTAGTTAGTATCTTTATTTTTTTCCCAAAGTAATTATCGTTATATATATGAAGAAAAGCTTTCGGGCTGAAGCCTCCCCTCCTCCCCCCCCCCAAAAAAAAATTAAATCCTGGATCTACTAGTGCCTCCTGGCAATCCTGACTTGTTAATTAGATTGGTCTCTTACTATTTTTAATATAAAAGTTTTTAATGGTATTCGTTTTGTTTTAAATGTTTGTTAATATGTCTAGTTCTTTTAAAAAGATATTAATTTTTTTATATAAAAGTAAAAAAAAAGTGTTTTAAAATGAAATAAAAAGTTCTTGATAAAAAATTGTTCGTTTAGGGTTTAATGCCTTATGTTCTCCAAGTAGGGCAGAAAGATGGGTTAAGGTAGGGTTACCAACCTATTCTACCCAAGGTGCGAAGGTCACGGATCAATGTATCGTGTATTATTAATCGAATGGATGATGCAAAACTATATCGTATATTGGACATAGTTTTATTCTAACAATTATTTTGTTTCTTGTAGGTGGACGTTTTTGCGAGATAATTCTTGAACTTACAGTTAAAATAATGTGAATCATATCTACGTTTACTATGTTACTTTTGTAATAAACCATTCACGGATGTGTAATTCCAACTGTTAAAATTTAAACTATTTCGGCTGTTAAAAGTAGATCCAATTTTTAGTACACCAAAAACCTATAAAACGCTTAGTCTAAGCCTAAAAATGTATTCAGAACAAATCAATACCTGGCAAAGGACTAAATAAAGTTAAAACTTGTTTCGCCCATTAGTTTGTATTAACAGTAATGTACGGAAAAATAAAACTAAAATTTTTTAGCGGATATGAACTATACATAAGAAGAAAATGAAAAACTGTGCAACCCACTTAAAAATAATAAAATCAATTTTGTTTTTATTAAAGATTAGCCGCAGGTTCATTTCTAATTGTCCGTCTGTTTTATGTTTTAACAGGGCTTGAAATTTAAAATTATTTTTCTCAAAATCATGTAATAATTACTGTATTTGATTTTTAATTTTAAAATCATGCCGGATTTTTTAAAAAAAATTTAAAACTATCTTTGTTCTATACTAATTCGATTAAAAATAATGATCAAAGTGATACGGTTTTACGTAAATAATAATTTGAGAGGGAGTTGTTCGGGGGGTGCGGTCTAATAAATACTAAATTATAAAAATTGTATTATTTATTTTTTTTTTGCCGACGTTTCGACCCACTTTGCAGGTCTTCATCAGGGCGTAGGATGTAGCACTTCAGGAGGCAGTTGAAACACTGTCGGTGATGTATATATAAAGCACATACCTTATTTTATTTTCTAAAAACTTAATAGATTTTTAAACGTTTATGTAGTCTTGTCTACTCAGTGATAAGTGATTTAGAAAACAAGATTCCCTTGTCTGTACAAAATAGAGCTGGTTCTAACAGCGGACGATGTAGACTCCTGATGAACGCTAAGAACTCTTTGAAGATCGGGAAGAGCCGCCATGTCTGCGGTTACGCAAGCGATGTCGCAACGTCCAAAGACAACCGGTTCCTCTCTCACGGTTTCTATACTCACCTTCACCCGGTGTTTTACATTTGCGTATCCAGAGCCCATCCGGTGTTGGGGAGAATGCCTTGATAATCTCATTGATGACATGTGTGTAGTAGGATGCGTTGTAAATAAAGCGTTCATGTGAATCGTCACCGCCGCTCTTTAGGGAACGGTGAGTTTTTATGACGCAAAACTCATTATGTAAAATTTGTCATTTGTTTTTATAACGATTGTTGATAATAGTTATTATTTCAGTTTTGGTGAACTTTTTCCATGTATATCTGGTATTAGTAAAGCTTACTGTATGAAAGAAGGAATGGAGTAGCTCAGTAGTAAGGCGCTGACTTCTTATTCTCTAGAACCCCGGGTTCGAATTCAGCTGATGGCAGATAAAATTATTTATTTCGTTTCATCGGACGTGGAGTAATCCTGAGATTATGAAAATCTCCTGGGGCACACTCAGCCTCTATAAAGTGGTCACCCTTTATTAAATAATTAATTAAGTGGGAAAACCTGGCTGTTGAGTGTGATCTCGGTCATATTGCCTGCTTACACAATTTTTACCAAGAAACAGTACTTTCGTTCAAGTTACTGTACAAAAGATCCTTCATGGGTTGTATAAAAGAAGATTCTTTGTCCTTTGTGAATAGCGTTAAAAAAAATATCCGTTTTTTAGAAAAAATAAAAAACTTGTTTTTATGCCGTATCTTCGTTAATACTTCATCTACTCCAATGATCGAGTCTCATAATTTAGATTATCACTTTCAATTTAGATTAGATTATCATTATTTTCAGCACCGTAAAATGAGCATATCCCACAGAAAAGCAGGAAAAAAGATAATGTAGGAAAAGGAAATTTTGTTTCCTCATATATATGAAAGATTTCTAAATTATATTAAAAAAAAAAAAAAACGGAAAAAATTGAAATGACATCATTAATGACATTAGACCGGGAGCCAGAGCCGAAAAAGCCATAGTATGTTAAGCAAATTTTCAAACTAACAGGCTGATTGTACTCATTTTAATTATTACGAAAATGATCGTTTGATTTAAGGTTTTAGAGGCATTTGAACCAATCAAAAAGTTCAAAATTTTGGAACATTTTAAGAAAATTTTCTCTTCGTCGCGTTAAGATACAATTTTGAATAATAGATCATTAGAAAGAGGATGAAATGCTGAACATTTCCTTTTCCTGCAGTATGCAGGTCCGAAATTTAGTTTCAGAGGTACTTTAATCCATATCTTTAATAAAACTGATTACGAAAATGCTCGTCTGCCAGCTCTGACAGTTCGATTTAAGTTTTTAGGGACCTTTGAACCAATCAAAAAGTTCACAATTTTGGAACATTTTAAGAAAATTTCGCGTTAAGATACAATTTTGAATAATGCTGAACATTTCTCTTCCTTACTGTATGCTGGTCCAAATTTTAGTTTCTGAGATATTTTAATCCATAGGCGCGTTTTGTGAGTCAACAAATTGAAGTGTATTGCATATATTAGGGTAAATTTTGAGCATATTAGGGCCGTTTGGCCTATATGACCTCGTTATTTTGACATTTTTGGGGTGGAGGTCACACCAAACGGACCAATATCTTCGTAGGTAACCTTTTTTTCCGACTTTGTTATCATATTATTTTACGATTCAAGTGAAAGCTATTCACGAGTTTTTAT